GAAAGTTTCTGTGATGAATGCCCTTGTACTGTTCACCATGTAAGAATTTATTCACTATGTAAGAATTCATTCACCATGTAAGAACTTGTTCGTTATGCTTCAGAAGATTGGAGACTGACGAGAATTAGGCTTGAGATGGATTAATGATTGTGCATTGAGCATTGACCCCCCTATACAGAATTTTATTGTTGTTAACAACCATTTGATCAATAAATATGAGAGATGCTCTCTCAAAAAAAAAATGCAGTCTGAAGACGTCAGTATAATCAAGTGCTTTTCATCTAATAATTCTAATACCTTCTTCAAGTACATTTCCCACCCCACTCCCTTTTTCTCCCCTGAGTTACACATGGATAGTTTTGTCATAGAGAGTCAGTCACTCGTTCACACACTGGTCACTTGAACATAATCCTTGTTTCTACCATGGTTTCATTTTGTACATAAATTTAGAAACAACAATGTGGAAAGCTGACCCTCCTTCCAGTCACAAAGAAAACAAGTTCATCTGGCTCCTTACAGTGAGACATGATGCCCAAGTAATTGGCTGAGTGTTGTGAAGTTTGCATCGAAAGCGCGAGCCGCTGGGTCCGCCTCAGAGACTTGCGGGATGCTCCCTCGGGAGGATGGACACCAGGCGAGGGCAGCCCCAAGGGGTGATTCTGGTCTGCTCCCGAGTGTGCTCCTCCGGTCGAGTCCTGCCTATGCTCCCAACCCTCTGATTTCCCCAGCTTCCTCTGCTACCCCACTTTCCTCCTCCCTGAAGCCAAGTTGGACCGTCAGTCTCAATCCACTTCCTGTACAATGCACACCTGCGCCTGCCCTGTGGGGCCACCCACTGGAATAAGATTTCTCCTTATAGCTAGCAACAAGAATCTAAGAGAAGAAAAAATGAGAGGACAGAAGAATAAATATCAATTTTCACTAAATATGTAACAAGATGGAAAACCTCATAATAACAAGAGAAATGCCAACTATCCACTGCCATTTTCCCACATATTGGAAGAAGGGGAAGTATGGATACTACTGTGTTGGAGAAGGCTGTGGGGAACAGACACTCTCCTATACGTGCTTGGCTGTGTTACGCACACATTTTGGAAGTTGACTTAGTCGGACCGAGCGATGTACACACTCTTCCACTCAGGAATTCCAGTTCTGGCAGAAAGCTCCCGTCATGAAGAGGCACTAGACAACCAAGTAGGCAAAATGGCCTTTGATGTTAGCCCACTCCGTCCCTGGCCACCCCCTGCTGATCAGTGGGTGTGGGAAGAGTTATGAGGGCAGAGATGGGCACTGTGCATCCAGGTAGCTGCTACTGAATATCCAGACCAGACACAGACCAAATCTGGACCCTGATTTGGCTCCATCCTTCCAGGAGACCACTTCGCCACTTGGCAGGAAACTGACAACATTGAACGCTCCCACCTTAGAAAGATGAATGATTTGTTTTAACAGAAGTAAATGCACATCTGGGTAAAGGTTTGCCTTGCCTGCCTGCAGGACTCTAGCCATCGCCACTACCTAAGGACTTACACAATATTAAATCCAATCTCCTAAGACCCCATGTAACATAATGTCAGACCAACTTACAGAAAAATAAGGGCACCTGCTTTACAGCAGAGTGGGCTGAGCAGGTGACATGGGAGCCACTGGTCAAATCGCATCAGTACCACTCAGAAGTGGCTGGTCTGATAGAGCAATGGAATGGCCTAGAGAAGGCCCAGCTGAAATGCCAGCTATGAGGCTTGTGACATGGAGCTCCATCCTTTGATATGCAAGATACTTGAAATTGAAGAGCTGTATATGATGTCTCTGGGAGAGAATTAAACTGGCAGAAAATGGACATTTACAGCAGATTATGGTTAATATCCATTCTTCATAATAAAACCCCAAGTTGACAAGAAAGTAAAAAAAAAGACCTAATAGAAAACAGTCAAGGGATGGAAGAATAAGTACAAATAATCACCAAATGTATAGCAAAATGGAAAACCTCACAAAAGCAAGAGAAATATAAATTATGGACTGGTATTTCCATACTTGAAAAATGTCAAGTATGGATAATAGTCAGTGTTGGTGAAGGCTGTGGGGAAACAAATACTCTCTCATACATGATTTGTTGGAATGTGTACATTTTGGAAAGCGATTTAGTTGGACCTAGTATGCATACCCTTAACCCAGGAATTCTAGTCCTCAGAATTTGTGTAGCAGAAATTCTTGCTCAAATGTGCAAAGATAAAGCCCAAGGATTTTCACTGCAGCATTATTTAATATTAATAGTAAGAAATGGAAAACAGCTTAGTGTAAACTAATAGAGGACAGTTTAATAACTTATGGCAATAATAAAAATCATATTAATTGAGGACTTATTAGATGCCACATTTTGTTCTATGTGCTTTTCATCTGATTTAGCTGATTTAAACCTCATAACTCTGAAGGAGATAAACATTATTTTGTTCATTTCACAGGTGAGGCAATCGAGGCACAGGAAACCTAAGTAACTTGGGAAAAAAGCAAATTTTGCAATAGTATGAATAGTCTGATTTCACTTTATAGAAATTAACAAAAATAATTCATGTATGTACATCTATATTATATGTCCTTGGGAACATTCTGTACAGAGGAGTCTGGTGATAGTTAACTCTGGAAAGTGAAAATTGGGGGAGAAGATTTTCACTTTTTATTTTATACACTTCCGTATTTTTTTAAATGAACATTAGTTTTATAATTTAAAAACAAATGTATTAATGTCTAAAACTCACCTGAATGCATTACATCCACATGATTTAGTTTCATTTCACTGACTAAAGAAGTTCTTGTTGCTCGTTATAGGGAGAAATCTTATTCCAGTGGGTGGCCCCCCAGGGCAGGCGGAGGTGTGCATTGTACAGGAAGTAGATTGAGACTCACGGTCCAACTTGGTTTCAGGGAGGAGGAAAGTGGGGTAGCAGAGGAAGCTGGGGAAATCAGAGGGTTGGGAGCATAGGCAGGACTCGACTGGAGGAGCACACTCGGGAGCAGACCAGAATCACCCCTTGGGGCTGCCCTCGCCTGGTGTCCATCCTCCCGAGGGAGCATCCCGCAAGTCTCTGAGGCGGACCCGGCGACTCGCGCTTTCGATGCAAACTTCACAACACTCAGCCAATTACTTGGGCATCATGTCTCACTGTAAGGAGCCAGATGAACTTGTTTTCTTTGTGACTGGAAGGAGGGTCAGCTTTCCACATCATTGTTCCCAAATTTATGTAGAGAATAGCTAGCATTTTTTAACATGTGATGTGAAAATCCTCACACAGGTACCGTCTCTCATACCCATTCCAAGCCTTTTGCCCCCGTCTTCCAGTCTTCCCCCTTCCAGGGCCTGCTGTGTGCACTGAGAGAATGGGGCGGCTCAGATCACTCCCCTGTTGGGGCGGAGCCTCTCATCGATGGCTGTGCTGACAAGGAGGTGGGTTTGGGTCACATTAAGTGTGAGGTGCCTTTGAGACATCTAAGTGGCAGAGGCCCAAGCTACAGGCAGAGATTCGGGAGTCATCCCAAGTCATGCGGGCACAGGTCACCTGCCAGGAAGAGGGTGTGGAATGAAGAGAAATGGGGGGCCCACAGCTCCTGTGAGAAGTCCAACATTTATGGACAGGGGCTGCAGGAGGGGGAGTTGGCAAAGGGATAAAAAGGAGGCACTCCCCAGAGAGAGGGGGAGAAAGCAGAAGAGACTAAAGACTTGGAAGAGACTGAGAGGTTGTGAGAATCCTAATGTGCCCTCCTACGAGCTGTTCAAGGGGATTCAAGAGGAACCTTTAAAATATGTGAGTTCGTTTTACTCCTCCACTCTGCATTTCACTCAGATTAAACACCCGTGTCTTTACAAACTTCAAGTTTCTGAGTGACTGTCCCCTCCCTTCCTCTGCTCCGGTCACGCAGACCCCTGTGCCTTTCTGCAGACAGGCCAGGCACATGCCCACCCCGAAACTTGGCTCTCTCCTGAGCAGGCTCTTCCCCCAGGTACCTGCTTGGCTTGTACCCCCGCCTCCTCTGGGCAGTGTGCTCTGCCCGCCTCTCTCCTGTCTCCCTTACTCTCCACCGGCCTTAACCTGCTCTGCTTTCACTTGTTGCCTCAGCACTCATCAATATCAATCATACTCTGTGACTTATTCATTTATTATTTATTATTTTCTGTCTGCCTCCCCAAACAAACTATAAGCTCCACAAGGGCAGGGATCTTTGCTGCTATTTTTACTGATACATTCTATGGGACCAGCACAGTGCCTGGCATATAGTAGGTGCTCTACATTTACAATTGTTTGTGATATTAATGAGAAAACCTGCTCTTTAAAGGAAGATACCCATGTTACCTAACAAGAATGACCTGCGTCACTGGTCTGAGGCCAATGAAGAACCACACCATCTCAACCTGGCCCCAAAGCAAGAGGCTTCCAGCTGAGTGTGAGGAGAGAAGTTACCATACATTAGCCTCTAGTACTTTATGTCTCAGTGCAGATTCTTCCATCTGCCATTAATGGAAATGGAGTTTTTCAATGATTATGTTTTGCTGCTTAGACCCCTTTGAGGTTTCCTATCACTGAAGGCCACTGGGGTAAATTTCTTAAGATTGTTACAGCTTCTCAATCTTGTTCACATTTCTGTTTCTCTCCACATGTGCTTTTTAAAAAAGTTGAGATGTAACACCCATACCATACAATTCACTCTTTCCAAGTAAGTGTATAATTCAGTTGTTTTAGTGTATTCAAAATACATCTATTGTACAATCATCACCACTATCTAATTCCAGAACATTTTCATCATCTGAGAAAGAAACTCTTACACATTAGAAGTCATCTTTCCATTCCTCTCTCTCTTTAGCCCCTGCAAACTACTAATCTACTTTCTGTTTCTATGAATTTGCCTATTCTGGATACTTCCTATATAGATGGAATCATACAACATGTGACCTTTGTGTCTGGCTACTTTTACTTAGATAATGTTTTCAAGTTCATCCATGTTACAGCATGAATTTATGTTTCATTCTTTTGTATGGCTGAATAATATTCCCTTGTGTGGATGTGCCATTTTTTTATCACTTTTTGATACATTTTTTCATTTTTTGTTATGAGTTGGTACGGTTGGGTTGTTTCTACTTTTGGCTATTATGAATAATGCTATGAACATTTGTGTACAAGTTTTTGTGTGAACATATGTTTTCAATTCTCTTGAGTAAATACTTAGGACTGGTAAAATGGTAATTCCACATTTAACCTTTTGAAAAACTTCCAAATTGTTTTCCATAGAGTCTGCACCATTTTCATTCTCTCCAGCAATTGATAAGGATTTCAATTTCTCCACATCCTTGTCAACACTTATTACTGTCCATCATTTTGATTATAGCCATCCTAGTGGGTGTGAAATGGTATCTGATTGTGGTTTTGATTTGTACTTCCTTAATGGCTAATGAGTTTGAGCTCTTTTCATGTGCTTATTGGCCATTTATATATATTCTTTGGAAAAGTGTCTATTCAATTCCTTTGCCCATTTTTAAATTGGTTTATTTATTTATTTTTTGAGTTGTAAGAGGTTTTTAAAATATATAGTCTACATAATAGATGTTTATCAGATATATGATTTGCAATATTTTCTCCCATTCTGTGGTTTATCTTTTCAATTTCTTGTAGTGTCTTTTGAAGTATGAAAGCTTTTACTTTTGATAACGTTCAACTTATATATTTATTCTTTTGGCCCCACAGACTCTTTAGATACAATGCCTAGGTCCATTCTGACAAGAAAAGAAGGATGATACCAGATGGGGACAAAGAAGAAAATGGCAACTTTACAATTCAAATTGCTAATACAATTATTTTGAAAACAGTCTTTGACTAGACAGTATAATTTCTATTGGTGGATATAAGCCAAATATGAATCATACAAATTATCATCTTCTATTCCATTCAGCCAGATGGATTTAAGGGACAGAGTAATGGAGAGTATCATTCCAGAGGAAAATGGTTCATATTTATGTCATTTAAAATATGATCTCTAAATAGCTTAAGCATATCTATTAAACTCTAAATGGAACATTTAAAATCAGTGTCAATAAAAGTAATGCTTTGTGAAATGATTTCTGAATTGTGGCAGTTCGCTTCTCAGACCCAGTATCTTAGTATGTAGAGATTGGACAGGTTGCTCTGTTGGAAGGGTCACCCCACTTTCCCTGGAAATTTGTGTTTGATTTATATGGGTACATTCCACGGAACATAGGATCCAGGTTCATCTCTTGGAATCTAGAATGACAGAACAAATTTGGATGTTTGCAACTTGGAAAATGTTCAAGATAGGTGAAAATAGCAAAATATAAAATAGGGTTAAAACTACCCAGAGGGAAACCAGGATACTGAGAGGTCTTGGAAGGATAGCATGAGAAATGTGGAGGAATCCAGGAGGGTACTAACGGCTGGGGAAGCGCCACTAGGAGAGCCATCACTTCACACTTGAAGAGGGACAGAGAGAAAGTGGAGTCAGTCTCTGTGTTTCTCCAGAGTGAGGGGGTGGTACATGGGGCTTAGGAAAAGCTAGAATGGGTGCCACAAAGAGCCAGCCTGAGAGGAGGCCTAGGAGGGGGCTCTCCCCTCAATATAAGGAATAACTTGTTTATAGTTAGAGAGGTCGCTGTGAACAGCATGACTTCCTCTCTCAGTGAAAAAATCCCATCACTGGAAATGGCCAAGGAAGGCTGAGGTGTTTGCTCAGCATGGGTGTTGATGCAGTGGAGATTGTGGGCTGGGCAAGAAACGGCCTTCCCACTCTGTGGTTCAAATCAGGAATTGCACACACTTTCCCAGGGCCTGGTTGGCGTAGAGTGAGATAGACTGTTGGAGTGGCCCATGTCCTTGGCCTCATGTCTTAGCTTCAGGGCACAGTTCCTGAACTTCTTATTCCTGACCAGTCTGTCCTGGGAAGGCCACAAAACAAGGGAGGAATATAAAACTGATGAAAGAAGAATGAACCTTCTTTTTCAAGTGGCATAGAATTGAGCCCACTGCAGGTCAGGCAGGGTCCGGCTGATGCAAAAATGCATTGCGAGGGCCACTCGGCTCCTCCCCTGATCAAATGTCCTCAGAATTCCTGCCGCCTTTTCTTCCAGGGCAAACTACCATGCTGGGGTAATGAAACTGGACCACAAGGACAGGGGGAGAAAATCCAGAATCTTATGAGCAGAACATACCATTTTTGTGAACTTATCTTCACACGCCATTCTAATCTTCTCTGGGGTGAGGGGACTACTGAGCTTCCACTGTCCCACCAGGCCTCTCTCCCGTCGAGCTGCATTCACAGCGTCACGGATGGCAAAAAGCACTGAACACCCCAGGAATAATGCAGACTCTCCTAGACCCTTGAAGGGAACAGATCCACTAGATTATGACTGTCTCTCTACATATGTGTGTATGTGTGCATCTATAGGCACATGTGTTCATATATAAAATATAAAAATTATATATATTAATTTTTTCTTTCAAAACTAATTTAATATTTGAACTCAGTATTCTCCTTCTTAGGATTCCAGCCTAAGGAAATGATCCAAATGGAGAAAGCAGAAGATGATTATTGCAAACAAAAAATGAGACACAACCTGATGGTGATAGTAGTTTGCATTAGGTTCCAAGATTTGGAGTACTTAAAAAAATTTTATAGTGTTGTTAAATGACTTTATAATCAAATTTTTAATAGGGTTTTATCTCTTATATCAATCCTGGTAAAAACCCCAAACAACCAAGAGATGAATGCAACCCTACCACCCTGCACAGAGATCACATAAACATGCATTTTATTCATTGAACACAGCTTACCTTGGATGAATACAGGGTATTTGAGTTTTGAGATGGAGGCAACAAAGAAATGTGCAGCTCTGTGGGGATGTCACAGATGGTAGGGATTTTATATTGATTTGGACCACGAGTGTATAGGACACCCTGAGGAGAATAATTCAGCTCCTCTATTGTATAAAGTCCCATGCCTTGAACAAATGCTCCTTCAATCTGAGGCAAAAGAAAAAAGAAAAAAAGAATTTCCATATATGAGAAAATACAATCAACAGCAGCATTTCAACTTCATGCTGCTTATTTGAATTTTTAGAATACAGTTTAAGAGGGTTTTCAGCATGTCCTAGAACATGTCTCTGAAAGTTTACTTAAAAATGTACCTAAAAGTGTCTCTAAACATCTTATTCAGTGCTAAGTTTAAAGTCAAAGGACTTGAGTTCAAATGTCAGTTTGGCATTAAAATTATAGCTCTAGAAGAGGCCTCAGACACTCTCATTTTTTCTGCTATAAGGCAGAAGAAACTCCCCCTGAGGACTTGCTCACAGAGCCCAGCACGTGAGGAGGGCTCCCCGGGTCTGCGAATGCCACCGTCTCACCTCACCATCCTTGCTCACCAGCAGGCTGGCCTCACATCTCCGGACTCAGCTTCCTCACTTGTAACACAAGCTGTGTGCTAAGTTTCCAATACAGCTTAAAATGTTCCAGTGCTTAGATGTCCACATATGGCCAAAATTGCTTTCCACACATTTTGGGATTTCCGGTTCTATTCTTTGTCTACTTGCTTCCTGTGGTTGTATTTCTCCACCTCACTCTCCATCCTCACTTCTGTCTGTTAGCAGGAATGTTCTCTCCCCTGATGTCAGACGCATCTTCCTGAAAGCCTAGACCCCCGCCCCCCACAGGCTGCCACCTCCACCTACAAAGTGAGGTGCTTGTCTTTGGAGGACCACCACCGGCCTGCCCTCTTTCCTTCTCCTGTCCAGCCTCATGCTCCACTCCTCTGACACAGGAACTTGCCTTTGTCTTCAGCCCTGTCCTCATCACCAGCCATGACACAAAGTAGGCAGAATTTCATGTCTTTCTTTAGGTTGATTTTCTCCTCCCAAGCAGAAAGCCTTTTTCTGTTCATACCTTGACTGCATCGTCCACACTCACTTCCTCCCTGAAGCCTGCTTTGACTTCTCCAACCCATACATTCTTCCCAGTCTCTAGTGACACAATGTCATAATGGAAGACTGCCTCAGATTATGTTCTTCATTGCAGGGAGTGAGCTGAACTGCTCACAGATACAGACAGGTAAAGAAAGCGAGGGAAGCTTCCAGGCGGGTCCTGCGTCCTAGAGCCAGAGGGGGCATGACTTCCTAAAGAGGCAGCCAATTGACTTTTCCTTGTGGAAATGTAGCTCCAGTGCATGATGTCTGCATTTCCAAGAGATGTGAGACACTTGAATATTTATGTAAAACAGCTTGTGATTTTTCAATTGTCAATTATTTCAAATTTAAATTTAAAGGTCTGTGTGCAGAGTAGGCTTCCTACTGGAAGCTACTGCTGCAACCACTGACATCTTGTCCCCAACCGGACTTAAACACTTTGGAGCTGGAGTTCATCATACACCCAAGCCTCCGCACTTGGCCCTCCACTCCATGCCTCCCTGAAAGGCGTGGGCTCGTTCGTCTCCTCCCAGCTTAGTCTTGCTTCATTCACATTCCCCAACCATAGGCTGTATCGCTCTTCAAAAACTTCCTAAAACACCTCTGTTTCCTTCTCCTTTCTAAACAGCAAGACAGTTGAGTTCTGTGGCTGGCCTGAATAGGAAATTCTGACTAATGGGTTAGAGAAATAGGACGATGAATAAGCCAGATGGGACGTTTTCCCTGCAGATCTCCACAGCAGTTTTGGCTTTTACAAACAGGAAGCAAGGCAGATCAGTTACCCATACCTGGCCGATGTCAAGGGCTGGATTTATACTGCAGCCAGCATCCATGATAATGTCTGTTCTGATAGTCTAGCAATAAAAAAAAAGAAGTAAAAGTGTTTCTTTCAATGAATATAATTTAGGGAGAGAAAGTTGAGAAACAGTTCCTGCCAGGATGGCATTAGTATAGAACCTTTCTTTGGGCCACACTGTATTTCAAGAAAAAGAAGCGACAGAGGTTTTACACTGTCAAGAAGTTTATTAGTATAACTTTCAAAGTTATACAAATACTCAAGCAGCTTAAGAACTGATTTTTTTTTTTCTTGGGAACAATAAGAGAAAAATATTGACTTGACTTTGTCCTAACTGAGTGCTGTAACCTAGGTCACGATTGCTGGCTGTGCCAACAATCTACAGTCAGGCTCCCTTTAGACTGTTTCCTCCTTGGCTTCTTTCCTGATTCTATTTAAAATCATCAGAGAAATAAGAACAGAAGCCACCAGTTGTCTTCCATGGAAGTAGCCACAGCACCAAGGCAATCACGGAACTTCTACTTTTTTCCAGTAATACAAATAAATTGTTATTAGGCCAAACACTAGTGTTTCTACAGTGCTCAGAAAGATGGAAATGTGGAATTGAGGTGTATCCAAAGTGCAATTTGAAGACCTTCTCAATTGGTACTGACCTTATGAGCACCTGTCAGGCAGTCTATTTCAACCTCGGTACAGGCAGCTCCATAAACAAAGTATTTGAAAGGACAGCCTTCCCCTGTCTCCCAGTTCATATTCGACTCGTAACCTCTGGAGGAAACAGAATCCTTGAGGAGTGTTGGTAAGTGATCAAGGGCCCTGATTGCTGGCCATGATGATAAATGGACCCATAAGGAGCTGTGTTCGGTTTGTATGCACAGCAGATAAGAGGAATATACTTGTACAGTGATGTGCCAGCATGTAACACATATCTGATGAATGAAGAAATATAAACTTCTTTCTTATTAAACTTGCTTTGTTGAATAAAAATATCCAATTGCTCCTTACCTGACTCCTTATGCCTGGAAGTTAGCTGCTGACTATATGACTATCTATCTATTGTTTTTGGCTAATACTGGTCATGCAATCCTGTTGTTGCCAGATTTGGGGAATTCCACCTGCATTTTACAGCAAATACTACTTCAAAGGTGCACGCTTGTCAGTTCATCTGTCTTTCTGGCTCCAGGATTCGGCTCTCATTCTTTGCCACTACTCCGGTCTCCACTGCCTGCTCTGTTTCCACCTCTTCCTTAAGCACCCCAAGTGAATGTCGTGGTGAAAGAGAAGCACAGGCCAGCAGCTTGCCACCACTTTGTACTCTTCTTTCCTCTGCTTTCCCCAGCCAGGAGGTATCTGTTAAAAATTCCTGATGCTTACTCCTGCCAGCCAGTCAGTGCCCTGGGACCCTCATGACAACTGATAAATGACATGGTCAGCTAAGACTCTGCTCTCTGTCATCCTGCCCTCTGATGGTTTTCACTCTCCATTAGAATAATTTGGTTTATTGTTTTCTAAAGTATGTGAGTCCTAATTGTTCCACATCTTGAAAACCCATGGATTATTGTCACATATCTCATTTTTCACCAATCTAGGTGTGAAATAGCATGTATCTTCTTATGAGTTTAATTTGTATCCTTTTACCTTTGTTTCTTAACTTAAGGGATACGCTGAGTTTTCAACAAAACGTCAACAACTGCTCTAACCCACAGAGGACCCTCTCATACTATCCAGTATGATATGAATCACCAATTCAGTTGTATTTTATTTATGTGCCTGTTTTCCTAAAGAAAGCCTTTCTGGATATTTGGATTAGCGACAGCTGAATGTTCTTTATTACAGGGGTTAATAGAAGGTACAAAATCAGTTTTTGAAAAAATTGCAAACAGAAGTGAAACCCTTCCTCAAGAAATCACTGCCATTTTCCACAACATGGGATTGAAGGACTATTTACCTGAAGTAGCCAGTAGCTGAAAGACTGATGCTTTCATCGTAAGCAGCCTGCGCCTATGAAAGAAGAGTACAGCATGATGCAATAATGATGTTTAAGGAAGGAATTGCTAGAGACTTCAATTTTAATTTTACTATATGTTAAGTAAAACTATCAGTAGTGATAACTAGGGAGGACCAAGATTACTGTGTTCCTTTCAGCATTCCCCATCTCCAGGTGGAGGCCCCTGTGGTTTACAGTTTATAGTAGCAGTATTTGTTCAATGCATATGATCACATGCAATGACTGCCATGGTGTGTTACCCTTACAGTCTGGACTACTGTGGGCCATGCATGTTCAGCTTAGCAAGAACTTGCTCAGTCGTCTGGAAACACTTAACCTATTATCATGGAACATATTTCATATTTCGGGACACAATGGATGGTTGGGGGTTTAATTTTAATAGCACGTATCCATCCTAGTCTTAGGAAAGGGGTATAATTTTGCTAAGTTGTGCTATTTACATCAAAAGCTCTCCTCACTCGCAATGCACACAGCTGACTAATATATAGGAAAATGGAGATTTGGTGCAAGTCCCTGAGTCTGGGGAAGAAAAGGGTGAATAGCACAACCATTACTGAAGATTGCGGGCCACATGGCAGCTTCTAGCGATGGCGGAGAACTGACTCTGGCCCTCCATCTCTCTCTAGCTCTCCGCTCAGGCTCTCTCAGGCTTTCTTTTTTTGGCTCAAGAAGCACAGGGCAGAGAGCAGAAATAAACATGTCCAGAAAGGACTGAGTGCTCCCATAAGTAAGAATTATAGAATGAGTCCTAGTCCATTTCTGAGTAGCTCCCCCACCCCCAGACATTATTTCCCCCAGACCAGTGCTTTTCACATGGAGCAGTCAGCAGTCAGCATGACACATACTCCTGTCCCTTACTGATATCCCTCCCACACCATCTGGTACTTTATAGCCTATTACTTTGAAAGTTTGCTTAGTTAACTTTGGAATGTGTGTCCTTGCTTCCAACGAGATTGCAGCATAACTGATGGCACGTTTCCCTATTTCTACGTGAGTGCTTATTTGTATTTTACTTTTATAGGAGTATTCTAGTGTTGTCTTCCCATTTTAGGAACAGTGGAACCCTCCAAAATAGAACAAACAGATTTATAGCTATTGTCTAGAAAATACCTAGGTTCCTTTGGAAGAAACATTAATTAGTTCTTGCTTAAAAGAAGAGTTTTGGACAAAAGAACCACCTTTTTCTCTAATAGATTATTTTCCCAGATGTCAGAGTTCCTCTACCAAACTGAGATAAGATTTCCTCCTGCTGAGAGCCAACGGGTCTCTATTTATCACTATGTAACTGTAAGTGCCCTTTCTACTGATATTTAATTCATACGTATCTCTCTCTCCCCTCTTTATTTTTTAACATAAAACACAAAATAACAGTGGTTCTTACCCATTCCTTCCAAGTGCCTCCAGGATTCTTGCTGATGATGGGTTCAAGGCGTTTTAGAAGAGTTTGACAAGCATCCTAGGGATAATTTTTTAATTAAAATTATGATCATAATTACTTTCAAACACAAATGTCAAAACAACACAACACTGGCCATTATAGGTGCTCATTTAAGAGACCCATGGAACAGGGAGGAGGAAGAGACCAACCCCGTAGGAGCTGATCTGACAGGTTTCATGGGGATGGGGTGAGGTGTGAGCTGGTCTTCAGGACAGACCGTTTAGGATGGGAGCCACGCTAAGAGGTCAGGACTTAACAGGATAACTGTCAGCAAATCATGAGCCACTGTTAACAGCATGGCCAGATTTATTTTGTGGGGAACCTCACTCTGATGGCATAAAGCCAGAATGACAGGCAATGCAGCGGGTGGACAGGCAGAGCCTTGCCGTGGCCCTGGCAAGAGGCACAGGTCTGAATCAAAGCAGCAGTATTACTAGGACATGGAAGTAAAAGACACCGACATTTTTTAGTAGAACTGAAAGGGCTTGATAACCAGTGAGACGTCAGAAGTGAAGGAGAAAAGGAGGTGGCTTTTCACCCCAGGAGAGTGGCTGGGTGCTGTACCACCAACAAAGGCTGAGACTGGGGGAAGGCAGATTTTTCAGCAAGAGGGTTTGGGAAGGTGATAAGAATTGGATTAATTCTCAACATCTTCTGAGCCCCACCCATGTAACTCAGCCTGGTGGGGTTACTGCTTTGGACGCCACTACAGTGGTGTTTACCTTTATTGCCAAGCCATTGAGATCTGCCACCAAGGAAGCTCCAGAGATACTCGTATTGGGGACAGTCTCCGTGCTTGTTCCACGCAGGTGAACTTTAGATATTGGCATCCTTAATTCACGACTGGCCACCTGGATTGTAGAAGAGTTTCTTTTCAAGTATTCTGGTTAGTCATCGACCTGTGCATATACCCACATGGTAGCACGTATGTAAAGCCCTTATATGCACAATAGGGACAAGTGGACAGAACCATGAATTCCTCCAGCCACAAGATGCACCTCTTTTCTAAAAACCCTGTAGCTAATCTGGACCCCAAGTCCTGAGCACACTTTTTCCCCCTTTAACTTTCTTTTGTGCAATAGTATCAGGAAGAGAAGGTGAAACCCCAAGCCAAGGCAGGGAAAAAGGCTTCACCTCTTTATAATCATAAAATCAACACCTTGGAGGTCTCTTCTACAACCACACTGCAGAATTCTTGCAAAGCTGACCTTAGTGATAGTAGATGCTTGACTCACATTTCTGGAGATAGTGTAGGAAAAAGGTGCTTCTTGTATGAAGGTCAGTGGCCCTGGGAAAGCGGTAGCACCGACACATGATCACAGAAAGCAAGAGGCTGCTGCCTCTGGCCAACACAGGGATTGGGCTGACTGCTTTGTTCTCCCCTTGCTTTTAGTGCTGGGGAGCAAAATTGTACTACTGGAGTCAGCTGATCCCAAATTCCCCTCTTTCCCACAAGCAGTATAGTTTAATAGTTTCCCATAACTATGGCAGGGACACAGGCATGAACAGCCCTTCCACCTGACCAGCTTTCAGAAGATTATATACCAAGGTGCTTAGGCTTGGAGCATAAGGTCCTGGTGGCCCAATAAGGAAAACACTGAAGTCTCACCCCCCTGAGATGGAGAAAGATATGACCAGACACTTCTCAAATGACTTATAACATGAAAGAAAAATATGTATTCACTATGTCTATAATCAGAAGAATGCAAATTAAGGCAGTAATGAGATATTATCATTCACCTATCAAATTATCTAAGATTTTAATAACAATCTGTAACATACAATGTTGGTTAGTGGTGTAATGAGATGGAAAACAATTTGGTAATATGTATCAAATGACTTAAGACATATTCTGTGATCCATAATTCCATTTCTGGGAATCTATTTTTATAAAATAATCATTGATTTGATCTTAGGTTTATGTCCAGAAACATTCACTTAAGTGTCCAACAATTGGGGATAGTTAAATAAATTTACATACATTCAAACGCAGTCATTAAAAACATGATTGCAAAGAGTTCTTAGCAACAGGAAGAAGTGCTTGCCCTATATCAGGATAGGTAAAAAAAACAGGATGCAAAATTATATAAATAGCATGTTAGCAATTTTATTTTAAAAAAGAGAAAGAAAAGAGGGAAAGACCCCAAAACAGTTGTTATTGCTAAGTGGTGGTAGAGTTGTGCAAGGTCTTCTGATTAAATATTTTGTAATCTGTAATATCACTATTAAGACCAGCAAAATAGAAACAGCAGCTAACAATTAATCTAGAGTAAATAAGCCAAAAGCAAACTGATAAAGTTTGGTTAGAAATAGCAAATGTGAGTTTGATTATCAGTTGTTCATAGGCTTTACTATCAAAAGGGCAAGAAATAATGCAATATATTGGAATTTACAAGTCTTTTTATTACCTACCAGAGGTTCAAAAAAGAAAATTCACTTGTTAATACCATGTCCAAAGGAAAGCAGCAAATACGTACACAGCCTTCTTTAGCAATAAGACTACCCGAGACTCTTCTGGCACATTCCTTTAGGTGGCTCACTCACAAAATTGGCCTGTTCACCCAGTTTGTGCTAACAGCTCAACAGCTGTCAAAGCTAAAACCTCCTACTCTTTGTATTTTGTAGAAGAAAATGTACATTTGTAGTTTCTCATGCACATGTCTACAAGCACACATCCAACTTAATACAGTCATTTGCATTCTTACCTGAAGCATTTTAGTGTGGACCCCTTGCCCCATTTCAATTCCACCATGAGTCACCAGCACAGACCCATCTAAATAAATGTGAACCAGGGCAGCAGCCTAAGCAAAAAAGATGAAAACAGTTTCCATGATCTGTTTGAGTGGGATTAGCATATGTCTTGTCAATTAAAACATTTTTCCTGGAAATGATCCCCTCCTTCTCATATGCTGCAAAAATAACTATAGACTCTCCTCCCAGCAGCCCTTCCTTCCCATCCCCTACCAAAATGGCCACAGACACTTCTCCCAGCAGCCCCTCCTTCCCATCCCACCCCCTGCTATCCTGAGCACTGAGCAGAGCCAGTGCAACTGGAGCAAGTGCTGCCCGCATCTCACCCCACAAGAGGCAGATTGTTGCCGGATGGTGCTGAGTCGTGGGCAGGACTGTGCTCCTTAAGCTATTGTCTCCTCATCAGGACATTTGGGTTCACTGGCAGTACCATTAAAAGTCTGCTTGACATCCCCCTTCCCCCAACCCAGGGTGGAGCAACAATCTAGGTTTGGGGTTTTGTTTTGGAGGGCAGTGGTGTCAGTTTTAAAATGCCAAGTTACGTGTAGATGGTTTGAGGGAGGGGGAGAAGTGTTGATATGAACACATATTCCCATAGTTGTAGGTGTGTTATAGAGAAGCAAAAGTACAAATCCAAATAAGATGGGACAGATGGACATTAGTTTTTTGCTGCAAAATGAGCTAAGCTCAGTCTACATCATTTTGTCACAGAATCACAGAGCTTAGCTGAAAGGGAACTTGGAAGTAATCTTATCCAACTGTATAGCTCCCCATAGGGATGCAGAAGGAACCAATTGCTAACATAGAAGAATTAAAGGCTGCTGGAATCAGAAAATTCAGACTTTAAGCTAAACATGCTTTACAGTCAACAAAAATATGCCTTCTTGCAAGTCTGCCCATGTTAAACTAGAGGTATGGAGATAGCCTGAGAGATTGCAAAAACAAGTATACATTCTTCACTTTAAGTCTCCAGTGTAAGACCAATATTACCAGCATGTAGTCCTAGAGAAAATGCTTCTAGAGGTTCTGATATGGTTCAGGAAGCCCTGCAAGGCACACTCTGTAGCTGTTCAACTGAGAAGTGCCAACTTCATAGATGTGGTATGAGCCACCTAGGGGTCACTTAAAGCTCAGTCAGCTAGGTTTGTTACTATCTAAGCTTCTATGCAAAGTGGCAAAATAATCTAGGATTTGTAAAGGCAGGGTCTTCAGAAAATTCTGGTAACAAACTAATGTCCATTTCATGAAGCTACAATTTTAGTAAGCCTTCATTACTCACTTAGATGGCTTATATATAATCCTGGTTGTAAGTGAAAGTCTCTGGAATCACATGTCAATCACCAGATATACCCAAGGAAAGACCTCCCTTCCTAGATCAACTGCCCCCCAACTAGGAGGACATTCATAACCCACAGTGTGCTGTGAGCCACATTTGGAGAATTTCCTGTTTATTGGTATCCAAAGGTTCACATTACTCCAGTGCATGATAAGCAGAAGCCTCTGTCCTTCCAAATAAAACAGTCTGACAGTGAAAATGGCCTCTGTTTACCTGGTCAATAGGTGCAAAGTAGGAATGCTTTGGTAAAATAGGGACATAAGGGTACCCTTTCTGAGAACAAAGGTACCTACAGCTACAGCCTATGGAAATATCTTAGTGCCCTGAGGGAGGCATCACAGCCATGATAATCATGCCAATGAGCCCTGGGAAGATGCAGCAGAGTGTGTTTTATGTCTATGGCCACATCACACCCAGAAATACCATCTTGTGCTCCTAGCCATTCTTACTCCCAAAATAATAAAGGTAAGGAGTGACATCCTCTACAGAGAGGCCAGAGCCTACCACCCTGGGGTTACACATCAGATGTCAGGTGATGCCAGCTGCAGTGGCTGCTTCTGGACTCCATTCTGTGGCACTTCACTGTGCTCTGCTAGGATGTAAGCCCCCTGAAGGGAAGGACTGGGTCCTAATGTATCCCTTGGAATGCAACAGGATCTCACACATAGTAAATGCTCAATAAAAGTTTGATAAATGAATTTTCACCAGTATCACCATTTGATCTGTTTCTTAAGCTTGTAAAGTCTGTATCTGGCCTTGTTGGCCTTGCAAGAAATTCAGAAGCTGCTGTGGCAATTTGCAGTTGGTACCTGTGACTGAGCTACAATTACAGTGGTTTGTGCATTTCCTATAATGTGTGACCCTGCTGACACTAGCATTCCACCAGCGTGCCCAGGGCAACATCGCAGAAACTGCTGAGTAATTTGATCACAACAAATTACTTGCAGTCTCCTTGGGCCATTAAAAATGTCAAATTTGGTTCAGGTAAGTGGCACCACCAGATGGGTCATTGTTAGTGCCACAGAAGAATTCCACAAGCTGCATCTATGAAATCGCACAACTGGAGCATTGGAACAGATGATTCTACAACATAACTCTTCAAGCAGTGACTGCTAGTATTGCTGAGAAGTTTTCTTTGGTCTCACAGAATCCTAAAATGTCTCAGCCATTCAAACACTTAGGTTCCTACTCTGTGCCAGGTGCCATACTAAGACACTGAGAATATAGGGGTTAAGTAGATACTGTATGTCCTTCAGTGTTTGCTTTCTGATAATTAAATATATGGGAGGTATGTTTGGCCCCCTCAGCTGCTGGGAGCACAGGGGCTGCCTGTGCTTAGGAAGGCAGCATGGAATGGCAGACATGTGGCCAGATGGTCCTGAAATCAAATCCTTGCTCTGCCACTCACTAGCTGGATGTCCATGGGCAAGAGAATGAACCTGATTTTACAGGTTGTTTTTCTCTCTCCCTTCCCTTTGACTAACCTTGGTTTTGTCTTTATTCCTCAACCACAGACTCTTGACTGTCTTCCTCAGCTGGGTAAATTTCGTGCAGGTGACTAAACGGCTCTGTGTTTTTTTGCATCATAAACAGGCAAGGAATGGGAAGGCTGCGATAACACCACCACTTGCACTGTTTTAATACTACTCTGAGCTGTCACCTATCTACAATCAACATGAAAACATTCTTATGTTCCCACCAAAGCCAAATCAGGATGGTGAGGTGAACAGATGGGCATGGAGAGAGGGAAGGACACTCCTGCACAACTCCGCTCCCCCAACACACAGTGTGCTTGCCAGCGCTCCTCACAGCCCCACCCCATTTATCCCTGCTCCGTCTTCCCTCAAAGCACCTGCCACACCTTCTTCATGACTCAGCCAAAGGTGCGAATTCTGCTACGGAGAGTGACAACAGTTTTGAAGGCTCTGCCCTCTCCCTCTGTATGGGTACATATACTCACACACACATGTAAACGCAGGTTATAGGGGTCTCACAGCACAGCTGTTTGGTGAGCTAGGGCAGTGCGGACCACCAGCTGTTCAGGCGAATTTTTGGTCAGGAATGAAGAGGTGGAAATAGCAAGTGGGATTTAGCAACTAAGCAGGGAATTTATTTAATTTTTTAAAGAAATTAAACTACAAGAGCAGATTTCCAGTCCTCCCCTTCACAATTTTAAGTTATGAGGTGAACAGAGCCCTAAAATTGTGTTTTAGAAAATTATTTAATTAATTTACTTTTCTGGGTTTAGTTGACCCCAACCCCCCAAACAGGGGGCTGGCACCCTGGGCCTTGCAGTTTCCTGTTTCTGTTTTTGCAGCCCAGTGACACAGAATCGCAGGTGGAGCAGCTGGAAGAGGAGTGTTGGCAGTCATCAGTCCCACTCTCGGTTTACACCTGAGGGGCGTGCGGCCCAGAGCAAGTTCACTTGGCTGCCTAAGGCCAGGGCCGGGAATGGACACCAGGTCTCCTGAATTGCCAGGAACCATGCTTGTCACCACCCTGGGGACACAGACAAAGAGCTCTTGTCTCTTCTAGAGAAAAGCTAGTTTGATTGAGCACAACTTTGGTGAAGGTTAACAATCAGGCATCACAACCATATGAGTAATCCACCTTAATGGGAAGTTTCCCCAGCACCTTTTCTTTTGTGTCTTCGGGGAACTGACCTGACCCATAGGGACGGAGCCAAGGCCGACAGGGAACTTCAGGGGGACCATGGCCAGCCCTTTCTTCTTCCAGTAATTCTCCGAGTTGAATTTTTCCACGGCCACTTCCCGCAGGGAATAGGAAGACGTAGCCATACATTCTTTCCAGCACAGAATCAGATTCTTGGCATTAATCTCTTGTTTGTAGGGTGTTTGATCGATTTCCTTGTACATGTTTATGCTTCGGACCTATAAAAGAAAAGGAGATTAAAATGGGCAGAAGGGCAGCAGACATAATCTCTTCCATCCACTGCCCTCCTAGTCGAGTTCCCCTCATTTTATAAGTACCAAACTTAATCCACTTGCTCTTTGGTGAAGCCCTTCCCAACAATGTTTCCTCTACTTGAAGCCTCTATCAAGTATGTTAGCATTTATATGCTTCCTATGTTGCTCTGTGTAAATACAAAGGAAAATCCTTTCCTTATATTTGTTATATAATTCAACACAGTCCAGGTACACTATAGACTCAATTCTAGTTGCATTTGTGAATATTAGTTGAAAGGTGATCCTAGAATTTATTTTCCAGGCTACATGATCTACAGAGACTTGGATTATCCAGATGCTGTGGAAAGATAAGACCATGCATTTCCACACCAGGAAAATATGAAAGTTTATTTAATGTAACCAATACTGGGATGAAGAACAAATTAAAAGATCTAGCCCAGGATGTCTGAGTCATGGGCAGAATTCTTCCTGAATTCCCCAAAGTGGTGACTAATACTCCCGGCTGAGAACAAAAGGTACCAGGTACACCACATTCTCAGTTGAGAAAATTCTTAGCAGCTATGGTTAGCTACCTCCCAAGCTGACAGGGGCCATGACAGACATACACTCTCCCTGCACCCCTAAGAACATTCCAGATCATTATAAAAGGAAGATTGGAAACTGGTAAGCTGTGCCATTCTGGGGAAGGCAGTGTTTTTAAGCGTGACTAGTCTCTCCTCCAACTTCCTCAGGGATCATTATCTGATTCTCCTCCCTAGTGCTTCCTAGTGACAGGACGTCTGGGAGAGACGCTGTGAGGAGGTGGCCAGGAAGGGAGGGGCGTGGACCAGTTCAAGAGACACGAAGAAGACGGCTGCTGCCTATGGCCTCAGATCTGATGCGGGAGGAAAAGAAAGTAGGTGAACCGGGGACTGGGCTTTCCAAGAACCGCTCCAGCATGAGGCAGGCGTGTGGGAATCCACGAACGCTGCATGAGGCGCCAGCTGAGGGTCGGCTGGAGAGTCAACCCTCCCTCATGGGGCACTGTCAATTTCTGAGAGAACGAGCAGAAATGGAGCCCACAGACAACATACTTGAAAAGTGGCCCCATCTAACCGAGGAGAGGACAGAGAGCCCACTGGGGAGGCTATTTCCTCTGGTCCTCCTCTGCCTCCCTGCCCCACGGCACAGTGGAAGGCACAGGGAAGGAGACAGGCAAGAGAGTGCCTTGCGTCTCCCCGCACTAACTGCACTCCAGGATTCTGGCTGGAGGGGGCACAAGGCAGGGAACAGAGCTTGTTAACGACTGAAATTGGGATGGAGACTATTTTAGTAGCTGAAACTGTACAGCAGCTGCATGAGATGTTAAGGAAGCCAGGGAAAGAAGGGTTTGCCAGAACCTGTTGGCAGCAGTTACACCCCCAAGCAATGGAGACTTCTCCCTAAACAAGTCAGAACCCACAACTCATTCCTCAATGGCCTTTGTCTCTCTCCAGGATTTTTTAGGAAAAGCCTGAGTAAGATGAGGATCTCTCAACTTTGGAACCCCAGCTGTCTACTAACTTGTTAGCTCGGTTACCTCAGACAAACCACGTGGCCCCTCCAGATCTCAAATTCCTCAATAGGAATGTCCCCCAACGGTCCTCCCACCTCTGGAATGTGATGTCTTCTGTAGGCGAGACCAACTGAGCATTACCTTCTCAGGGGACAAACCACATTTGGCTGCAACTTCTGTGATACAGAATTCAGTGATGAACCCTGCTTGAGGGAAGCCGAACCCGCGCAAAGCCGTGTTGGGTGGAAGGTTGGTTCTGCACACCAAGCCCCGGCAACGCAGGTTGGGAAACTTGTAAGCATTTTCCATTTTCAGAAGTCCCATTTCTATCACCTGGGGAAATCCAGAGTTGATGAAATAAGACACTCACCCTTCCATATCTGTTTTACTGTCCTCAGACCTCAAACCAGGCCAGAAGGGACCAACTCTTTCTACATCACAGCAAACAAGCCAAAACAGACCCACGTCCTAAATGCATTTTTGCTATGAAATAATTTTTAAGGATTTGAGTAAATACTACTATTTTTTATTTTTAGATTTTAGAACTATTACACTTTTTTCCAGGTTTCGAACATTTCCAAAAGATGTTGACACATCCATAGGCCCTAAATATGGCAGCATCTACACAGTGTAATAAATGAACTATTCTGGAAAATAGGGAGAAAATATTTTGGTATTTGGTCTACTGCACTGGTTCTTAGCCAGGGACAATTTTGCCCCCCGTCTCCTGGGACATTTTGCAATGTCTGGAGACTCTTTTCATTAAGACTGGGGATAGCTGTGCAACTGGTATCTACTGGGTAGAGGCCATGAATGCCACTAAACATTCTTCAATGCACAGGATAGTCCCCAAAACAAAGAATTAGCCAGGCCAGAATACCAGCAGTGCTGTGGTTGATGTCTAAGGCTTACATTTGGGAAAAGAGTTGTAAGTAAGTAAACATGGAGATGACATATGGATGCTGACTTGGCCAATATCTCTGGGCTCACTCTGGGAATTCTGGGAACACACGGGTATGCCTGCAGTGAGGGTCTTTATGCTTTTATAACTAAATATTACTTAACTACTGGACATTTTCTGAATTAAATCATTTTACGTAATACTTTTCAGAAGGTGAACTTGCATCTTAAAACACTTACAAGTAATGACTCATCCAGGGAGGCCCCTCCATTGCTATAATGCTCCACATCCAGGGCCAGGATTCTGCCATCATTCATGAATCCAGCCTGGGGAAAGAGAACTGACCTTTGATATTGGTGCTTGGGATCATGTGTCTTTCAAGTCTACTTTGCCACTTGTGAACTCTCTTCACACAGGCAAAATGCTTTATGACATTGGATTTAGTAATGATTTCTTGGATAGGAAACCAAACACACAGGCAATGAAAGAAAAATAGATAAGTTGAACATCAAAATAAAAAACTTCCATGTATCAAAGGACACAACAGAGTGAAAAGGCAACCCAGAGAATGAGAGAAAATATTTGCAAATCATATATCTGATAAAGGGTTAATACCCAGCATGTATAAAGAACTCCTACAACAACAGAAAAGAATGGACAAAGGATTTGAATAGACATTTCTCCAAAGACAATATACAAATATCTAATAAGCACATGAAAAGATGCTCAGTATCACTAAGCAATAGGGAGATCACCTCACATCAAACCACGAGATACCACCTCACATCCATTAGGATGGTAACTATGAATAAACAAACAGCCAATGATGTGTTGGTGAGAATATGGAGAAATTGGAACACTCGTCTGCTGTTGGCAGAAATGTAAAATGGTGCAGCCACTATGGAAAACAGTATGGCAGCTCCTAAAAAATTAAAAATGAAAATACAGTATGATCCAGCAATCTTATTCATCACATCCATTAGGATGGTAACTATGAATAAACAAACAGCCAATGATGTGTTGGTGAGAATATGGAGAAATTGGAACACTCGTCTGCTGTTGGCAGAAATGTAAAATGGTGCAGCCACTATGGAAAACAGTATGGCAGCTCCTAAAAAATTAAAAATGAAAATACAGTATGATCCAGCAATCTTATTCCTGGCTATTTATCCAAGGCATAGAAAGCAGGATCTTGAAGCGATACTTGTACACTTGTGTTCATAACAGCATTATTCACAACAGCCAAGGGGTAGAAGCAACCCAAGTGTCCATCAGTGGATGAATGGATAAACAAAATGTGGAATACATTACAATGGGATATTATCCAGCCTTAAAAAGGTAAGAAGTTCTGACACATGCTACAACATGGATGAACTTTGAGGACATTATATTAAGTGAAATATGCCAGTCACAAAAGAATACTGTTTGATTCCATTTATATGAGGTATCTAGAGTAGTCAAATTCATGCAGACAGGAAGTAGAGTGGTGATTTCCAGGGGCTGTGGGGGGAGGAGGGAATGGGGAGTTATTGCCTAACAGGTACAAAGTTTCAGTTTTACAAGATGAGAAGAATTCTAGATAATTCACATTCAACAACAATGTACATATATTTATGTCACTGAACTGTACATCTAAAAATGTTTAAGATAGTAAATTTTATGTTGTGTGCATTTTGCCATAACTAAAAGAGTAATTAAAAAGGAAAATATGGAAGGGTCAAGAAAGCCATAAAAGCAAAACAAACAAAACCCCCTCCTGTCCAGGTCATCACTACTGTTCAATCAGTCCTTCTTTCTCCTAAAGCAAATCAACCACATATTGCATAATCTTTCTTCTTGCCAAGCGTCCTTGAATTTTGGTTTGCATCATCACATTTCTACCAAAACCTTTTACCCTAAACCTGCCTAAGCTCCTAACCTCCAAATCTTTTCTTAAGCTCCAAATTTGGTGGTCTTCTCATAATGTACTTCATATTTTTCTCAAAGGCCCAAATTTAATCTAAACTCTAATCAGTATTTGGTACTACTGGAGGTCTTCTAAATAAAAATCTTCCTTGCTTCTAAGATGTATTTAATATCCTCATTTTCTGTCTGCACTCTGACTCAGTATCCCTGATTTTATTAAAGTTCACTTTAATAATTTCTGTTGAGTGGAACCAAATTCAAACCAAAGCAGCAGTCAAGGGCATGGCCTACGAATTCCAGCAGTTTGAATTTTAGGCCTGGCTCTGACAGTGGACTAGCTCTGTGATCTTAGGCAAGCTCTATAACCTCTCTGATCTTGATCGGCAATAAATAAAGTAATGCATGGAAATTTACAGGCAAGTGACTGAAACATAGCAAGTGTTCTAAATACAAATTATTATTACTATTCTAAATACTATTAATATCATCTCCTGTCCTCACTCTATTCTCCATCAGAAAACATTATTTTCTCACAGTTTTAATCATCACTATGCTTATGGCTTCTGTAACTATAAGCCAGTCCTTTCAATAAAGTCCCGCCTTGGTGAAGGACATTTCCACTCTAGCGCCCTGCTGTCACTTCTTTCCCAACACTTACCCAAACAAGTTCATCACTACCCCTCCAGACTGGCTCCTCCTTCTGGCTTGGCTGTTTCTATTAGAAGCCTCCAAGTTGCATTTGTAGTTTTATTCTCCACTGGATTCTGCCAGATTTGTTGCCAACTTCTATTTTTTTGTACTATAATAACTCTTGTATTCACCTCTTCTTCTCCATCTTACTATCATAGTGCAGACCCCAACTGCTTCTCATCGGAACGCAGCAGCTGCCTCCTGGTGGTCTGCCTACCTCCAGCCCCCGCATCCCGAGGCCATCCTGCCGGGGGCCATCGTGTTACCCTCCCCAACGCCCCCACAAGTGGTTATAACACCTGACTGGTCACGGATCCACTCAGTCTCCTTCTTCCTTATGAGACCAGTTTAGACCCCCATCCTGGGACCCTAGTCTCCTCTCCATCTGGTCTCATTTAAGCTCACCAATCTTAAATTCCACTGCTCTTGAGTAAATACTCTGTGTTCTTCTTCCCCCTCTGTCATTACTCCTGCTACTACCAAACATGCCATGTTCATCCCACCTCAGCATTTTTGCTCTTACTATTCCTGCCACCTGGTATGTTTCCTTTCCACCTATCCACTTTGAAAGCCATTCTTGTCATGCTTTCTCTAAGATGTCTCCTGTACATGCCTCAACTCATATTCATCTCTCTCCATAGTTTTACTAAGTGTGCCTCATCTTTTAACCTGAGATTATTATGTTTTCATAATGATTCACATGTATAAGTCTTATTTCCCTTCATATGTAATCTCTGAGAAAACAAAGTTCACCCTAATAAATCTTTGTTGAATTAAATGAAATTCAAAATATAGCTTAGAATGAATGTGAGCTGAAATAGAACACATTCGTTATCTTCTAAAAATGTTTGCAGGTTTGCCATTGTGGAAGAGACAATGCTGTGTTCCAATCCTGCTGTCTTCCATCCTGGGCACACAGAAAGACTACACTGCCCAGGACCCCTTGCAATGTAGGTGGCAAATTCCCAGCCAATAACATGTAGATCAAAGCAAGGTCCACATCCACATGCCTGGTGCCTGAAACACCTGCCACATACCACTCCATGCTCTCGGTCTTGTTTTCTGCCCTCTGCAGAAGATCCCGCAGAGAACTCTGGGTCTCTGGGGCAGTACTATCCAACAGAACTTTCTGTGATGATGACAACGTTCTATATCTGCATGTCCAGTATACTAGCCACTAGCCACATCTAGTTGTTGAGCACTTGAACTACAGCTAATGTAACTGTAGAGCTGAATTTTTCATTTAATTTACTTAAGTTTAAATAGCCGTATGTGCCTAGCAGCTTCCATATAGGACCGTGCAGTCTGAGGGGATGATGGTGGCATTACTAGAAGGAAAAGCTTGAGTCCCTGAATGATTTTTCAGACTAGAGTCCTCTCCTCCCTTCCCCGCCAGCCCCCAATTCTCGATGATCCCACTAATTACACTTGAGCGAGAAACAACACAATCATGGTTTTGTGAGTTTTCAGTTGTTTGTTTTAGCAGTTAGCCCATTCCAACAAGTTAACTTATTTCTTATAAAGCAAAAGAATAATTGTTTTCTGCTATGGAAATTTTTCTAGGAATTTCTGGGACAGAATTTTATAAAAATACCCTTGATACATTGAAAAATGAGGAACCTGTTGGCAAATAATTGCAATTTCACTTGACACTAATGTTATGGGAATTATTCTACTTTTAAAGTATGTGGGAATAGTGTGGTTATCAGATCTACTTTCATAGATGCATGTAGTCATACATTTCCCAGTTACGCACTCTGTATCAGACAATACAAGTTAGGACTTTTTCACAAACTGACATCTTAGAGCAAAGCAGAAAAGCTTCATTGAGCCACCTAGTAATCAAACAACACAAGGACCAGAAAGTTAAACAGAAGCACAATTTGTTGTTCGTCATTGTTACTCCCCATCAGAGAGGTGCTAAATGCTGCCCTCTACATCTGTGGAGTGTTGTGCCTACAACAATCTTCTCCCTTCTACTCACTCTGTACTTTCCTAGGTAAGGGTGGCGGCCTCCAGTTATTAACATGTCTTCTCCTCGTTCCAGAATGCAGCGGACTGCTCGACTGTGTCTAAAGCAGAAAAAAAGCAAGAGTGGTAACCTCTTTGACTGAGTAGGTGCTGTTGGGGGTTCATATAACTCCTATGTAAACTTGAATGGCCGCTTCGGTGGCATCCACACTCATTACAGAGCCATGGAACTGAGCTCAGGCATACATGGCAGCCTCTTCCCACGATGGCTCAGGCACAATGCCTGGAATTTGCTACTTATGGGAGGGAGGCTCTGGGATGCCAGAGGTGCCAGGGTATTGCTTTGGGGGTTTTTCCCACTGTGAAATGACCTCAGCTATAGGCAGATGTTCCTAAGGTCACATTATAGACTGGTCACAAATGCAGGAACTCAGGTGGTGTCTGATTGCCAAGTGCTCCCTGATAGGATAGGTCTGGAATCAAAGTCTTTTTGTTACATAGGATAGAGGAACTGACTTACATTAATCAGTAGAAAAGTTAAGCCTTCTGGGTGTGCCTACTCCAAATACAATTTCCTATGGTAATGTTTTGATATCCTCAAAGGAAAATGGTGCTATAAATAAAAGCAAGCATGACAAAAGCAAACTCTCCATATACATATGGAGAGTTCAGACCATATATATATGTACATATATATATATGACCAAACACCATATATATATGACCAAACTTTTTTCAAAAGGTTGGACTTATATATATATAAATATGGACCAAGGACAAGTAACACCCCTCCATGTTTCTGTCTCCTCTCCAGGTGTTTTTACTGTGGCTTTCATTCTTCTAGTTATTCTCATTTTGTTTCTTACAGTTTTATAGTTTGACAATATAAGATAAAGAAGTTATAATAAGCTGTCAGCTTGCTTGGGTAATTGTATATTACCCAAGTTTAAGAAATCTTGACCCGAATTCTTTCTCCTTAACCCCAATATTGAGAATTTGCAGTGTGGCCTCATTTTAGATTTGTTTTCAGCAGATTTTCTCCACTTACTTGTTTGCGGCAAATGCCGTGATGGCTGCCAGGATCCCGGTTTTGATTGACTTCCCCCCGAATGCCCCACCAACACGCTTGACATGACACATGACCTTGTTAGCTGGGAGCTTCAAGGTTGAAGCAACTATGTCCTGTGAATGATAACAGTTCTTATTAATCTGGCCCATCTGCAGCAAGGAATTGGGGCAGCCCTTACATATTTTTGATTGCACAATGTTGTACATGATACACAAACTGTGTGATTATACTAAATAATGGGATGTCCCAATAACCTAGGCATAAAATTATGACTGATCTCAGTGGCATTTGGTTATAATGACATTGCCAAAACTTTCATTAATATGAAATACTCCTTTCAATATCAATGAGATGTTTGTGTACTAATAAATTAAAAAAATTTTTCTCCATGAACCTCACCCAAAGTTTCCTTTTCACTCTAATCCCTAGGGATATGTTTCTTGAAGCAGTGAGATTTTTGTGGTCTTCCAAATCTCTCTCAGGCTGGGTATTTTCCCTGCATTCTACTCTCTCCACTGGACACTTAAGACCTCCCATTTGGATAAATAAAGTTGGCCAGTGGGTCTTCTCTGGATGCAGGTCTTACTCTTCCTTGTCATCCTAATGTTTAAAGGTTATTTCATCTTAAAGTCATTTTTATAGATGGAAAGTCCAAGAGGGATGACGTGATGGGCCCAATGCACACAGGGAGAGAGCAGAACAGCACTAAAACGGAGTTCACCTGAGCCTTCCGAATGTTCTACTTTCTAAAAGGCCTCATTCTCCACATTCTCACATTCCTACCTGCTCCAGTAACAACACTGGCCCCTTATGACCTACTGATTCAAGACCTCTCTGCCTTGTTCCACTTACTTTCACCCTGATGCTTAAGCTAAATGCATCCTAAATGAATCTTGTACTCCAGCCTGGGCAGCCTCTGTACCAGTCCTCCTTCCTTACATGCATATTGCTTGGTACATAGGACACAGGCAGTTAAGTGTTTGCAGAAGGGATGAGTGGCATTTGATCTTGGCATGGAATTACTTGGAAATGGCCTCTCTTCTCACCATCTAGACAAACCTCATTCTCACTATAAATCCAAACAGAAGACTTCATCTTCATGGGACTTCCTGGATGATTCTAGCCCTTAGCAAACCCTCCTTTCTCTTAATTGCTCTGCCTATGTAAATTATGACTTAGCTGATTTAGCACTTGATTGTATTCTGTCTAACACTGTTTTCTAAGTGCTTCATAGGAGTTAGGTCCTATAAGCTGTAGGGGGCAGGCCTTCCTCTTTTTTCTTTGGTATTTTTAACAGTGCTGAGAGTACAGCAGAAGAGACCTAGTTTACTAAGATTAAGCCAAAATTACATAGTTGGTTTTAAAGTTATGAATCTATGAACAGAAGGCCCCTACTTTCATGATAGTCTCTTAAAAGCTTTGAATTGTATGGCTATTAATACCCACATGGATATGGCTCTCAGTACTTCAAGTCTCTTCAGTTTCTGAAATGACATTTTTGTTTCCAATTGCTCTTAGTATCTTTTGCTGGCAGAAACAATTTGGTCATGTCCCCTCCACCATGGCCCTATGTTACCTGTGTATATTTGGGAAACTGTGTGGAAACATAGATATCCATCTCTTGATCCTCTCCTTTGGGAACAGCAAGGATGCTTTGGGTTTCCATATAAAAATGTTCTTGACCGCCAATATGTATCTCACCTGTTATAGGAAAGTATATTTTCTTTCAGAGTCAAGGAGGTGTTCAGACAGAACAAGTGGCATTCCCCTGCTGTTATCCCTTTATGGAGAAATTCCACTGGCAGTGCTCTGCTGGGGCAGTAGCCTGAACAATTAAGGGCCACAAAAAACATTTAGCTTCATCTTATCTACTAATTTGAAGTACAGTTTTGTACAGGCATCTGTCATGTCTGCCAACACAATTGGTCTCAGAGTCCTAGGGAAAGGGAGGCAACTTTAGAGTCAAAATACTATGGCGAGGAGACTTCCAGTTCCTGGACAGGATAGAGAAGATGCACATCTCTGTTCTTTCTGCTTTAGGTACAGCTAACAAGCTTGGGCACTAAATGTAACAGAAAAGAAGATTCTGAAAGGTGGAGAAGAGAAGGTAGACCACCGAGGGACTCTGCAACCCAAGGAAAGAAAATGAGTTCAGTGAGCTCATGTTCTATGTTGTTGCTTGCTTCACGTGTCCAAGACTCGATGCCAGAGAAGCCGGCAATTCAAAAAACAGCAACAGGCAAAGATAGGAAAAAGTCCCTATGAAAAACCTACTTTCTCTAGCCAAAGGACCAGGAGAGGAGAAGACAGAAACTTTTATACAATAACCACTCTACTTCAGCACAACACTACAGAAAAAACTGTGGCCCCATCCTGATCTGCAAAAGTTGAGTGGGGAACCTAGACTTCCACCCTTCTCAGGGTGTAATGAGGTACCCCCAAACTATCTGTTGTGGGGTGTCAGTGGAGACCACATGGGGAAACTGGACTCCTACCCTCCACCTGACAAGAAGAAGGCATCCCTACTTTTTCGTCCCAACCAACACTGGGTCAGAGGAGTTCTGGTAAAATAGAAGATTTAAATATGATCCTGAGTCTTATAACATAACACCCCAAATGACCAGGATACAATAAAAAAAATCACTCATAGCAATAACTCAACTTGTATGAGAAAAGTCAATCAACAGATGCCAACACTTAGATGACACAGATGTTGGAATTATCTGAAAGGATTTTAAAGCAGCCAACATAAAAATCTTCAGTGAGCATTTTCACGAACATTTGAAACAAATGAAAACATGGAAATCTCAGCAAAGAACCAGAAGATATAAGTAGAGTCAAATGGAAATTTTAGAACTAAGAAATATAACCACCAAAATTTAGAAGGTTCAGTGGCTGAGCTCAATAGAATAGAGAAAACAAAGGAAATTATCAGTAACCAAGAATATAGACCAACAGAACTTGGCTGACCTGAACATCAGAAAGAACATAGACTGGAGTGAAAATGAACAATCTCAGGAACCCGTATGACTATAGTGAAACACAGAACATTCATGTCATTGAAGTCAAGTATTTGAAGAAATAATGGCTAAAATTTCCCAAACTTGGCAAAAGACATAAACCTACAGATTCATGAAGCTGAATGAATACTTGGGAATATGATAAATATAAAGAAATCCATGCCAAGACACATCAAGGTCAAACTTCTGAAAAGTATAAAAGAAAAAAAAATCTTGAAAACAGAAAAACACTACCTTACCTATAGGGGAAAAACACTTCAAAAGGAAGCAGATTTCTTATCAGAAATCATGGACGACAGAGGAACTGGTACATCTTTCTTCAAGTACTAAGAGACCTTTCAACTCAGAAATCTATATCCAGTGAAAATATCTTTCAAGAATGAAAGAGTTCAAGACATTCTTAGATGATGGAACACTATGAGAATTTGTCTTAAACGAACCTATTCTAACACAGTGGTGAAGGGGAATTTTTGACAGACAAGAAATGTTTTTTTTTTTAAAGGAATCTTGGAACATCAGGAAAGAGAAAGAACAGTAGAAAGAATAAAAAACAGATGGACTTTCCTTCTCCTCTTGGGTTTTATAAATTATATTTGAAACAAAATTATGACATTGCCTCATGTGGTAGTCAATGTACATAGAGGAAAGTTTTAAGACAATTGTATTTTAAATGAGGGAGAGTAAGGAAATGTAAAAGAAGGTAAGGTTTTTATAATTTACCCAAACATAAAATGTTGCTACCAGATATTTTGTAACATATATATATATTTAATATAGTTATATTTATACATATTTTGTGTATATATATATACATGTATGTATGAAATTGGACACCTACAACTACCACTAAAAAACTAGACAGAGATTCACTCAAAAATACTACAGATAAATCAAAATGGGATTCTGAAAAATGTTCAAATAACCCATTGGAACATAGTGAAAAATTTTAAAAGCAGAGAGAAAAAGACAGAATATATAATTATGACCAGCCATCATGTTAGGTGGAAAGCAGAAAAGTTAAAATGTACCTAATAATAGTTATTTGCAAACTGTTTAAAGTAAATTCCCAGGGAAATTTTTTGTATTAGAATCTGGACTTCCTCTCTTATCCAAAATCTGAGTAAATAAACAGTACAGAAAAATAAGCAGATTTTGTTTCATTTATAAAATATAAAAATTAAAATGTCAAGAACTGAGGTCTCAATTTTAATTTAATCTTTTATCAAAGACATTAAAAAACCCACTTGTCAGTACACTTGAATTCATGGTTTATATTAGCGATTCCACCTATCCACTCAGAATTAATTTTTTTTAAGTAAAAGGCTAAAAAATATTAGGCAGAGGCATTTCTGCTTAAACCTGTATGGCAGGCAGTTTTAGAACCCTGTCACATTGTGCTGCCCCCCACCCCCCACCCCTGATGCCCTCTCTTCACCCTAGGGCTTTAGCTCTTTAGGTGAGAAACCAATTTGATCAACTAATCCCTGAGATAAAGTTTTATCCCACTATGGGTTTAGGAGTGATTCCTCTAGGCATATTTACATTTTAATAAGAGGCCCTTGAAGACTGAAAAGCCACTAAGATACAAAGGAGTCTATCTGTACCAGGCCCAATAGGGCAGGAGGTGGGGGAGGTAATCTCAGGTTCATGGCTCCTAGATATCTCGCAAATGCTGCCATAGAGATTGTCATCTACACTGTCCAGTGTCAAGCCCCATCACAGCTAACAGAATTTTAAAGAGATAAATGAGAAGTGGGATAATGTAGAAGAGCGGATGCTAACCTCGGAGGTGGGAAGCTTAGATTTGATTCCTGGTCAATCACATGCTGCTCCAGCCTCCGCTGGTTCATTTCTGAACAGTGATCTTTAATGCCCCTCTAGTGCTATGTAAGGTTGAAATACATCTTCACAGCTGATAAAAACAAACAATAATATCACTCCCTTCAAGAACACAGTCTAAGACCTGATATAATGCTCCACGTATTTTATCTTTTAAATATTCGTTTTTCTTGAAACAACTATTTTCCTAAGAGTCAGATAAAGTGCTGTGATAATGATTATCCTCTCATTGAAATAAGTAGTCAAAAATTCTTAATCCAAATGACAATTGAAGAGTTAGAAAAAAAATACCTCAAACTGGTGAGTGAAGAGAATAAACATTTCAAAGTAGTGTAAATGTCCCTTTTAAAGCTTCCTGTATCACTTTTATATTGATCAGTAGGGTACAGGGCAGGTAACAAGTTAAAATCCATGTAAGAGATGGAACAAATTACTTAACTGAATTAAATAAGATGTTAAGGAAAAAAACAAATTAAATTCACACATGAAAATAATTGAATTCACACATGGGTATTTCCTAGGTGCTCACAGCAGGTTCTCTCTATGCTAAAATACTCTTTCCTCTTCTCCCCAAATACAAACCTGCCTTTGAGTGTTTGCCACACTGTACTAGGCCTAGGAATCACCTGGAGCACTGTTAAAACTTGTCAAAAATAAATTCCTGTGCTACCCTGGTCCTCTAACTCCAGAATTCCAAAAAAGGAGCCCAGGAATTTCCAGGCAGGTCTCATAAATAACTCATAGTAAGAAAAACTAGGAAACACTGGATTTGATAAATAAATGCCTGCCAAAGTGTGTTATCTCAATAATAGACAGTCTTTTCCAGAGAACATCTAAAACCACCTAAACCTAAAAGAAATTACCACTCACAGTTACGGATCTCTTAATATGTGCCAAGCACACAGTGTATTATCTCCTGTGATCTCCATAATGGATCTTTGAGATCAGTATTGTTTTATCCATATAATTTTAGAACAAGAAGTGCCCTGCCAAGTCACACAGCTAAGACAGAGTGCCAGTGAATACTGGCAGGTGATGGTGCAAAGTGTATTTTCTACAACATCCAAGTGACATTATCCATTCTGCTCGTGACCAGCTTCAGGTTACATACAGTAATGGAGTTAAAAAACATGATGTGCTTTGAGCTCTAGTGGTTGGACTGAATGATTATATATGCACAGCTCTGGCTATGTGTTCAGGGTTGGTATGTCTTAGGATTCTTTCTGTGCCTGGGAGCAGGGTTGGAGAGAAAAAAAATTAGGGTGATGGTAACATGCATTAGAGGCCAATGTCTTAGAAATTCGCTTACAGACAGTGTCAAATGACTTATTCTCTGCCCTGAGATACGATAGCTCATGCCCACCCAGCAACACATGGATAAATCAGATCTCAGATGGCAGGTGTTAAGGATAGCTTTCACAGCATGGATGACAGCAGAGCATAGTGGAAGAAGTATGGATTATTTAAGACCCATGGTAAATCTTTTTTTTTCTTGCTATAAAGAACATTACAATGTACAGAGAAAAATGTCAAAATTTAAATAAGGTCTGTCAATTAAATAATAATATTGTATCATTGTTAATGTTCTGATTTTGATACCTATGTTTATGTAAGATAATGTCCTTGTTCTTAGGAAATAAACACTGTAGAATTTAGGGGTAAATAGATATCATGTCTGTAACTTATTCTCAAGTGGCTCAAAAAAGTAATGTATAGAGAGAGAGAGAAAAAAAGAATGATAAAGCAAGTATAGTAATACATTAATAACTGGGGAATCTTGGTAAAAAGTAATTAGAAGTTTCTTTAATATTTCTAAAACTTCCCTGTAAATTTAAAATTATTTCAAAATAAAATGTCACAAAAACTTTATTGGAAAGTTTGAATCAACTATTTTCTAAGACACAAATTTAATTTTAATTACATATGTGTATAATGGAGGGGAATCTGAAGGAAGGGAGGGAACGAGAAAAGAAAGTAAGGTGAAAACAGAGAAGGAAGTGAGGGAGAAGTCAGAGAAAGAAGGGATGGAAGAAAAAGAAACACAGGGCTTTTATTATCATAAAAAGAAGCTATCAATTCGATGACTAGCTTTGTCACTAGCAGCAACCGTATGACCCTGGCCATGATGCATGGCTGCTCTGAATCTGTTTCCCAGTCTGCGGTGTGGTCGTGAACAAGGAAAGAGACATCTATGTAACAACTGGGGCAGCTGATCAGTGCACAGGGGCTGCCATGGGCAAGGCCTGGGCTTCCCATTCACCTCCTTGCAGGGCTCCTCTCTGTCTCTCTCTGTCTCTCTTTCTCACACACACACCCCAGAGACAGAGGGAAATGCCTTGTCAATGAGGTGCCTGGCCCCAAGGAGCAACACCCGCCTGCTACCAGCTGATTTCTAGAAGGCCAAGGGAGCATCAAATTCCACATGCTTAGAAGGCTTATGGATGGTTTCCCTTTGCATAATTTTTTTCAGATAGTTTTACCTTCAAGAATTTGGTCAACCACTTTAAATGCTTCATCAACATTTCCATATTCCAGTTTCTTTTCTTGATCGAAGAAGGAGTTGTGTTGTATTGCTTCCTAGAAAGAGAATAGAAACCTTAGGTCCTTGGAGCAAGAGAGCTAGCCACCCCCAGCGGGGCATCAGCTGAGTCTGGGCAGCATTTCTCCTCTGCTCTGGAATCCCACGCACGTTCGGCGTAATTCCAGTGAGCTGAGCGGAGAAGCCAGGCTTCAGGAGACTCCTCACGGAGTCAATATAATTGTTCCAGAGTCAAAAGAAACAGATAGTGCTCAGGAAAAAACTGGCACCTAGATGGTCCCAGAGTAAAACTAGTATTTCTCAGCAGATTGTTCTATTTATTTTATAACCCATTTTATGCAGCCAAGGCTACGGAGCACAGGGGTTTAGAGTTTGGACTCTGGATCCAGTCAGAGTTGTGTGCATTTTCTTCGTTTACTAGCTGTGTGACTATGGGCTTATTACTTTGCCTCCTGGAGTCTCATCTGTACAATGGAGGTAGAGTTGTGCATATAACTTCAATAGGGTTCTGGTGAGGATAAAATGAAATGAGGCATGTAAAGAGCTTACATGGCATATAAGTGCTCAATAAACGCTAGCTGAAAACACTCCAGAGATAAGGATCACGATGGCCCTGACTGCCAGCCCCATGCTTCTCTTTTGGGAGGATGAGCACAGCATTTTTACAGGGCAGTAGAATATCTGCCTTTTGTAGTAGAACATCCAGGGACCTTCAGCACTGGAAGTAAGTTTCCATTACAAGCCCAGTCTGGGTGCCACAAATGCACTTACACACTGGCTACTATGGGCTGCCCCTGAGTGCTCAGTGAGGGGGACAGGGTACACATAGTCAGGGATAGCAACAACCATCTAGGGTGGTTTTCTTACCTATCCCTAAGAAATTATCTTGCAACAATCTCTGTGTCTACTGGCAAATGTGACATTCCAGCTCTTGCTCGCATTTTCTACTATGGATTTTTGTCCATCTATGAAATTCCAGCCTGTCAGCAGTTAGGGATCATCCTAACTCTGGTTCCCACGGGCCACCAGCCCATATCTAGACCTATTAAAATATCTTGCAGGGAATGTTCTACTGTGATCCTGCCATTTCCTCCATTCAAAAAGTGAGTTGGCTTGTCTTTACCACCATGGGGACCAGGTTCCCTGATAAAGTGTTTGTCGAATGCTTACTGACTGGCTGAGACCTTGGATAGCGCATTCCTTTAGTTTCCTTATCAAAATGGGAACAGTAACAATTTTTATCTCAAAGGACTATGGTGAGCATTTAGTGAGTTAATATATGAAACCTGCTTAGAACCAGGAAACAACACAGTGAGCCCTGTAAAGGTGTTACCCATGTTGTTGAGCATAATGATTGATAAGAAATTCTGGTCAGAGCATATTTTTCTCATCATGCTCATCAGCCTGATCCCAAGTCAAGAACTTTGATAGAAGTTCCACGTTCAAACTATCAAACACTCAGAAAAGCATGAGCTAGATTAAACCTTACCCATAGTGACAGAGATGTATTGGTTTTATCCTATTTTGATTAATAACACAGTTCCTAATGGAATCAATTTATATGATTTTCTTATTACTCTAAGATTCAGCCCAGGTTGAAAACAGGAATTAAGTTTTATAAATCCTGTTTCTAAATGTCTAATCTTTCTCCACTTTAATTGCTGCTTGCTATTTGAGTAACCTTGAGCCAATTTCCTGAATATTTCTTGGCCAGTAAAGTGATAAGAACTGGAATGTGTAGGGAGCTAGGCATATTTCCTTGCCAGAAACCTTGGTTAAATCCACCCTCATCCATGTGTTTGACCTTGGAGAGGTTAACCTCTGACAAAATGTGAGATGACTCTTCTCCACAATGTCAGAGTTTGGTATTTAAAGCTGGTATTCTCTGGTGAACAATTAGGGATCTGATGGTTGGAGCTGGAGAGGGTGGGGAAAGGGTGCTTTCAGTTTGCTTGTTTGGAAGATTGGGGGAGAGAAGGGAAGATATTTACCAGTTGGTATTGGGGAGAAGATTACATAATATTTTGATGAGGTATTATGTAAATATTTTCTTATTAAGAAATAATTAAGAAATAATTTCTTAAGAAGTAACTAAATTAAAATTTTGGGGAAGGAATGTATAAAGTAAGCTAGCCAACATATGAATGAAAAGGGAACAGGATGTTTGAATCTGAAAAACTGGTCAGGAAAGTTTGGGAGGCCTAATTACCCTTTGCCACCAACTAAACTTCTATATTTTTGTCTTCTTGACATGATTTTATTTTAATTTTGTAACATGAGGACATTGTCCAGAAACAAACTCTATGTTCCTTAGGCATAAAGCAGTGTGAGAGGAAACACACCCAGAGCTAAGTTCTCCCCGAGACACTAATCTTAGGAGATACTAATCTTAGCCAAGTCATTTCCTCATTTGCTGCCTCTAGGCTTTCTAGTCACCTAGAGAACAACGTACTCATTCTGTAGTGAAGATAATGTATTCCCGGAGTACATGCTGAAGATAATCTCTTCATGCCGTGTTCCCAATTTTCATGCTTTTATTACTCAGTAAATTATAAGAACCAGTGAAATGCATGCCAAAGAACACCCTATCATTTTATGGAGATAAGTCTTATCATTTTTGTAAATCTCTAACTCCTCTCTAAAAGACAGGTTAGGAAAAGCAATTCTCCAGTTGGTTTAAGATGCTAAAATAACTTTAGGCATCATAGGATCTATTTCTTAGACTCATTTAAGATATGCACTAAAAACTCTAAAAAGAATGTCTCCAACGTTTGCTTCATAGAGCATCTTGTTGGTTCTCTCTGTGTGCCTGAAAGAGTTCGGGAGAAGGTGAATACAGAATTGCAGGGTGTGCCCACTGTCTTGGACATTGTTGGTTGACATCTAGCATTCCTCTCACCTGCCTCCTTCCAGTGATCAGATTTCTCTTTAGGTCACCACCACTCTCACATACAGCCCATGCACTCCAAAGAAATATGACCCCTCCCTTCCCCACCCACAGTAACCAATAGCTCTTCTAATCCTCTGGCCAGTCATTCATTCAGAGGTGGACCTGTGACCTAAGTGGCCTGCTGAGGCAGGATCTCAGGACCCCTGCTTGGGATTGCTGGGGCAGGGGTGTGCTGTTTTGCTCTTTGGACATCAACAGGAAACTCCTGGCCGCCATACTGCCACCATAGGGGATAAAGTCTGTATTATAGGCAGCAAAGAGGCAGAAAATTAGGTTTCTTGCAAACACTGATATAGTTTGGGGCCAATAAAATCCCTGTATTTTGGAAACCACTTTGAGCCAGATTTTCTTTTCTGTTACTGTAGCCAAAAGCATTTTAATTAATACACCCCTGAAATTTGCTCTGCTGGCATCACCCCTGAACTCATTACCTCAATTGTTAGGATTAGCGGCTCCAAATCTTGATAGACGATCTTCACTCTCTTGGCAGCTTGCTTTGCCTGGACCTCGGAATCTGCAATCACGGCACAGACAAGCTGACCCACACAAAATACCTAGAACACAGAAAGACCTTGGTCCTCAGTGAAGGCAGATACCAGGTCCTCTCCTTTCATCCACTTTTCCTTCCCCGCAGCACAGAGCTATATCCCTTCACATGTGTCTGTATCTGCAGAACCACAGTTAGCAAAGGCTTTGGGAGGAAAGCGCATTTGTCAGAGTTGACCTGCTGACACCAGTGTTGGAGGAGGTCATCGAGACGATGTGACAGTCCCTTGACCCATAAGCTAGCCGCAGGCAAGTGGGGGCTCCTCACCCTCCCCCCTCTGTCCTTGGAATATACTTTTTGCCACTGTGCCTACAGTGGGAACAGTTACCAAGGATGCAGCCTTGAGAAGCAATGTGTTGTTGAGACCATCTGGATGGTACACGTGGCTGAGCCTCATCAAGGCCTCTGGGTTTAGGATTTGGTGGGTGGGTGCAAAGTTCTACTTGTCTTGTAGCCCCCCAAGACCTGCCTCCAAGTAAGCTCTCTTGTTTATCAAACCTGCCACCTACCCAACTAGGGTGCTCTGCCTCTTTCTTCAGTTTCTCCTTGCCCTGTGTGCACAGGGCCTGTTTTTGAACCAACACTATTCTGCTTAATCAATAACCAGCAGGTCACCATACATATAAGGTGCTCACCTAAAAAATGCCTGTCAAATGCATAGCAGCATGAATGAATGAGTCAGAGGGAGTTCAGAGTGAGAGATAACTCTAGTATTAAAGGATAAGAAAGTCTTCATGGTGGAAATACCACTTGAACTTGGACTTAGACTCTGGACACAGTGACACTGGGGCAATGGTGAGGGTCAGTGGAGGGGTCAGTAAATAGAAGTTGTCATTATGTTCTCTCATTTATCCTTTCACTCTTGTTAGCAGCACAGTATCTTACTACTAGACAATATAAAACACCAAAGTATCTTTGATCTAACTAGTCAAGTTTTCTACTTATGTGGAAAATGAATATATTTTAATTCATTCAATATTAGAATATAGTGTTCTTTATAAGCATTCAAAGACCATGCAATCCTTTATGATGTGCTGAGTTTAATGCTATTATCAAGAATATATACAGTGCCATTAACTGAGGAAATTTTTTAAACAAAAAGCAAAACTTCAGTACCTCTTCTGTCCCCAGAAGTTTCTCAGGTTTGGTTAGAAGGCAGAAGGAGTTTACACCCTGAAGATGTTCCTCAGTTACAATGTCTACCACACCTGGCAGGCTGAGAGCTTCAGATAGATCAATAGACCTGGATAAGAACACACACAGGGGTACCTCAGAGCAACCCTGCAGCCCGAAGACGCTGGAGAACATGCTTAGTTGGAAAATAAGCTACAAGAGTGGTAAGGTATGCCTGGGAACTGCTCCAACAGTTCTCTGCCAGACTATTGGGAAAATGAAGTTATTATATGCAGGGACAAATTGTAATAATTCTACATTTCAACCCCATTTTACCTCCAAGCTGCTTTGGATAGCCTCGGCAAATAGTTCAGTTCACGCTCTTCAACCATTACTCTTCACTAATGGGACTTAGTTAGATGGAAAGGCAATCACTAATGTCTACTGGGAAAAAACTTGGCCACTTACACAATCTTAGCATGAGCTCTTGAACTTGTTACAAAAGTCAAGAAAAGTTCTGGGTCCACAGCAGGAATGTCATCACAGTAGATGGCTTCACCCGTGGCATGCTTAATACCAGACAGATGCATGATGGGATGGCCAATTGGGTCTTGAGGAGGCTGCTTTGCATCTACATTCTGTTTAATCAATAACAAGCATATCTCTTTTATAATCATATTATGCACATCTCCCATAAGAGGGTAGCTGTATAATGTACATCCAAGCCAGAACACTTTTAAAAATGAAAAAAGTCACCATTAATAATAACACCAGAGCAATAAGCCTATTTCAATAATTTAATAGGCAAACTGGGATGAGTAGCCATAATGTTGTCCTTATTTTTTTCTCACTTTTTTTTAATATAGACCACAAATACCCCTAATGCAAATTTTACTTGTGTAAGTAAATGAATATAAATCTTTCTTTCTGATAATGTAAAATTATGTTCTCTTGCTAATGCTCATGTATTTTTTTAAATTGTATTATCAGAATTATTTTACCATTGTATCTAAGCATGGCACATATATTTTTCAGAAGAGTATGATGATATTGTGACTATATTTATAGAAAATTATTGAGGACATGCCTTCAACCAGAGGAGCCTTTTGTTTTTCTATTGTGAGTGAGGAAGTCTAAGAAATAATTGGTAAAACTCATATAACAGATCATCCTGATGCAGAATAAAGACAAAGGTGTCTGCACTTGGAGAAATGATTCATTATTGTTACTCTTTCTTAGAGACCGTGGAATAAAATGTGCTGCTATTGGTTCTGTAAGTTACTTTAAATATGATTCATTAACTAAAGTGGAAATTAAAAAACATGTGTCCCCCAGTATTTCAAATACAAAGGAGTTGTTAGCTTTCCTAATTGGTTGGTTACTGGGAGAAAGGTTGATGTATAAAGAAAGAGGGGTTAAGAGACATGGGATAGGCCAAGCTCAGAGACCAGGGGAAAGGCGGGGGTTGCTAAGGGGGTGGGTCTTGAGAGTGTAGGAGGTGGAAAATTCCAGGGAAGGTGCCCGTCCAGCAGCCATGTGTCTCCTCTCTAAAAGGAGGCGGAAGCTTTGGGGCCTGGAGCTCTGCCTGAGGAGATGCCTGCTGAGCAGCACTGGGCAATCCTATCCACAGCTCACTGGGGACATATTAACAGGAAGTGGGACATTTGATTCCACCTAAAGTGGTATCTCATTTCACTCACAGTTGCTGGCTTTCCAGAGTCAAAGCGACCCCTGGTCCACTGAAAGCACTCTGGGACTCTTCTGCCATGGAAGATCACCCAGCTGTCTGGGATCCCACTGATCAGAGTGCTTTTGTCTCATGCAAATGCTCTGCTTTCTTTTCCCTTCCAAACATTTGGATTTCGTTTAACAAATAACCTGAACGGAGGAGGCCATCATGGTCCTGATGGGGAGCTTCCCGCAAGGAAAACCGAAAAACCCACTGCTCCAGTACCCTCTGCTGCTCTCGGGGCTCAGAAGAGGGCACCGTGCTCACTGCCAGCCAACTGGAGGGACTCAAGAAAGAGATAAACCTTTGGCTTTAGATAGACCAGAGGTTCTCCAGGGGGGCATGCCTGGGACATCAGGAGGGGAAAGGGGAGAGTGGCCCGTGTAATTTGAAAACACATTCAGCATTTTTAATGGTCATTTGGAAAATGAAAAAAACCCTATTGTTTTCATAATAAAAATGACAAGAAGTAAAATATCAGCCAAATTCTGACTGACAATTTTATGTAGATAGTAGGGTCATTTCTAAATTAACTTGGCATAAGACATATATATTGGATGCTCTGAACTTATTCCTATTTCACATAATATTTACTATTTTACAGGAAAACATACACTTACTGATAAGCATTTGTCGTTTTAACATCCCTATTTATTTCATTTCAAAATAAACTTCAATTCCGTAGTCACTATAATACAATGCATAAAAAAGAAGTAGTGGCCAAGTCTGTTTTCTTTATCCTGACTTTATAAACTAAATAGCAGAAGATTACCAAGAAAGATAATTTAGAACTTGGGCCAGGCACCATTAAATAAAGGTAGACATTAGATCACAAATGTAGGGGAATAGGAAAAATGAGAGAAAGTTTTACATATGGGGTTCAGGCATGATAGGAGCGGAAGCAGCCTGGACACACACCAGCTTCCCTGACATAGTATTTCGCTCTGTCCTCATGACCAAGTGCCCTCAGGAGGCTTCTTCCCCCTCCCCTTTGAGGAGCTAAGACATGATCAAAGGGAAAAAAATGTATGAGGGCTGTATCAGGCATGGCTTTTTATGTTACAGATGGTAGGATCAACTCCCTTGGCAAAACACCCCCAAGTACTGCTCTGGGCTCTCAACTCAACTTGAACAACAGTTGAGTGAAAAACCACCCACATCATTTTTAAACTCTCAAGAGGCTTCTTCCATCCTGGAGAGCAAAATTCAAGGTACTTAATAGGTTTAGACACTAAGGAAACACACTTGTAGGTATATGTAAAGGTTCTGGAGATTTTCTGTGACATGACAAAATCTCAATCATAATATAAGCTGGTCATGGGGATGGAAATTCAGCATAGAGAACACAGCCAACGATTCTGTAACATCTTCCTGTGTTTACAGATGGTAATGGCACTAGTTGTGGTGAGGATTTAATAATGTGTGTAACTGTTGAATCACTGCGTTGTATACTTGAAACCAATGTAATATTGTATAGCAACTACACTTCGATACAAACATCTTAAAGAAAGAAAGAAAGCGTTTTGAAACCTTGCTGTATAAGGCCTGCCGAAAGATTGAGAAAAAATCCTAAAATATATCTTTGTCCGATTCTATAATCAAATATGTAATTGATTGCTTTAGCTGAAGATATAACAATGTTTTTTCGTGGTCAGTTGTGATGAATCTATGGTGAAAGAGGTCACACTTGCTTACTTGTTGTTGCTCGTTATATGGCTAAAGAATCCTTGGAAGAATGCTGTCTCCTCAAACCAGTGATACCTTCAAACTCAAAATGCTTTCAAAGCAAACGGACTGATTTGGGGAGAAGAGGCTCATTCATGAATGCTGAGTTGTGGATATCTGAGTGTGTGAAAAACAAGAGCAAAACTCCTCTGTGTGGGAGACACACTGTTCCCAAAACTTTGCCTTGAAGTCTGTAATAACAAACTCCCTTTTAAGACAGCCAACAATGTGAATATTATAGCTTTTCTCTGGCTGATATGAATGCCCATTAATTTGTTGTTTATCTTTTATGAAGTTCACTCCACCACCAAGAAAATGTTAGGGTATTTTTAGGCTGAAGGTTGCAGCTACTGTGTTTTGCAGAATACCAGGGAAGATGGCAGCTGTTTTTAACTTTCAAAATGATCATTTTTAATGGAGTTTGGTATCTTTGAACTTTTGAACATACTGAACCCAAAACATCAAGGAAAAGACACCAACTTCAAAGTTCATTATGACATAAAAACTTTTGTAACTTCATCCAACAATAGATTCAATGAGCTGATGCTTTAAAAATCCTCTTCATGTTCTTGACTTAATAAAACTCTCAAGGCAAAGTTTCTTGATAGTAATTACAAGGTAAAACATATCAAACCTTATCCAGTTTACCAACAGGATAACTTCAGGTGATATTTTTATGATGTTATGGCAGAAAATTCCATTTGAAAGCTATGAGGAATTCTGTTCTAATAGCTAGCTTTTGTTAGGAGAGTTCGCATAGCTCTTAGCACCAAGTTTGATTCAACTCTAAATGTAACTCACACACAAACACTTGGAAAGAAGGGACCAGGGGAGCAAAATATCTCCACATTCAAACAAAATTAAACAACAGCTCTTTTAAAAAAGCATTACTACATTTCCTCAACCTCCAAGGGTTGTGTTTTCTGCTTCTCTGTAAATGAAATAAAGCAATCCATGGCCCTGACACAGAATCTGACTTTGGCGGTGCTCTGACTTCCAGGACGCCAAGGGCGGAAAGCACACAGCAAGCTAGCCAGCTGGTTCATGTTAGTGATACAAGGCCACAGAACAAAACACAACAGCCTTCAAGATAAAAACAGATATGTATACTTAAATTACCATTGTAACTTTAATTTTAGTTATGAATCTTCATTGATTTTGAAATTTTAAGTAACACTAAAGAAGGAAGGATCTGAGTTCACTGGCAGGGGAGCTGGGGCTTGTAAAGCCTGAGAATCACTGAGAGATAAGAGGGGATGTGTAGATGAGAGAGGTTTAGCCCAGGTCCGTCGCATTAAAAAAAACAAACAAATGCCACAAACCTGGTACTTTAATGTACTCCAGTGATGTCTGGAATGAAGATCTTCTAAAGCACTCTCATACTTGTCTGCAGGGCCAGGATAATGCACAGGGTCCTGAAAAGTAGAACAATTGTAATTACTTAAAAGATGCCAGAACAGTCTCAGAAGGGAGGATAGAATGGTTCTTAGCAAGTGGCTCTACTCTGAAGTATTTTATTAACTCACCCAAAACAGAGCACCAGGGAAGTACAGGCAGCTCCCTAACCTTCAGGACACACATTCTAGAAGGTCCGTACTACCTTGCAGTATGAAGAGCCAAGTGGATATAGTAGGTCCCTTACAACATCTTTATGTTTCTTAGGGTTCTCTCACATGCTTTCTTCAATGTGAGAACGACATTTTTTAAAACAATTAAAACAGGAAGATAGAAGCAGAGTAAATAAAATGTACAGAACGGGAATACTTAACGTAGGAAAAAGTCAGAGCCAGAGCACACCATTGCTAATGAGCGTACAACTCTGCCATGCAGGACCTGGCCAGCCAGGGAGAGAGGGAAGTGCCGAGGGCCGGGCCTCTGCCGCAGCCCCACAGGAAGGACAGTTCCCCGCCCCATCCCAGGGCCTCGGGAAGAACACGTCTTAGAACTGACAGAAATCGGTCATTTGGGTCTTTTGACAAGACTTTTACTAGTATACTTAATGGTTATTTTTACACTCTAAAAAGTTTTAATAAAATTAAAGCCAACAAAAGCTATCATTCTAAATAATAGAGGAATATTGACTAGAAGAATTAGGATAGAAGTTATTAGACTATAGGGCAGAAGCTTTAAGTTATACACTTGATTCACACAAAAAATTGTATCAGTTTGCAATTAATTAGAGGAGTCTACAGCTGGCTTTATTTTTTTCTCTTCTAATTACCTGGTGACATTATGTCACTTATATTTGATTTCAAGCTTCCATTCTTAAAAGTTTGATATAACCCTGCTGGTTCTTGGTTGTTTCCATCCGTAATGAGAAAATACCCTCAGATGCAATGATAAGAGAGAACTTGGTGCCTCTTATTTAAAGTGATAGTACTGATTCCTATACAACATGAAGAACATTATCAGGTGCGTTTGGGCAGCCGCTGTGGCTTGGGATTAATGTTAGTTCAAGTTCCCTTTGGGTCTGGCAAGTTTTTTCAGAGAAATTCTTTCAGTTTTGTCCTCCCTAGCCAAGAACCTTGTAATTAATTGTTTGTCCTAAGGAAGAGCAGGCAAGAGCAGGCCTGGATGGGTGCTACTGTTATTAAGACAGCTACTAGGTTGTCTTCGTCACGTTCCTCTGAAGCACTAGGGGCCATATTCAGCCCTTTTCCTATGATGACCCATTTCACAATAACCTTGTGAGCAGCTGCCATCACCATTGGTGAGAAAAACGAAACTGAACCCAGAGAAGAAAGCCAAATGTAGGAAGATAACCCTTCACAAGTGAAAGAAACGTTTTACTGAGGGAAAATAAATTCTTATCATTAACGAGTTTTCTGCACACCATCTAGACAAACGACAGGTCAGAAACAAAATAACTGAGTGGCGTTAAAATCCTGCACAGCTCTGTGCTCTGCTTGCAATCCTTGCCCACACTCAGACAGCATCAACAGACAGCCTGACAGGGGTCAACAAGCCCAGGGGTTTCTCATTCAGGTTGTCTTTCCTATTCTACAGTTATTTGGCAGCGGGCTGTTGCTTCCACGTTGGGTATTACCATAGCCCCCAGGAATGGAGGGCTACCATGTGGCCAGTTCCATTTACCATCTTCTTCAAAATCTGTGACACTTCCAGGTAGAACTTGAAGAGGAAGCTGATGATGAGAGTCCTCTTGAACTCCACCTTCCCTCCAGTAGCCGAGCCTGGGAGAGAGACTTCATCCAAAACCAACCGGCAAGCCGCATCCAGCATCTCTTCATTCCAGGGCCTGAGAGAGTCAAAAGAGAGGACTCCTAGCCTGACAGGACTCATTACTTCACAGGCTCATGAGTGCCTAAGACAAATAGCTACAATTTAATGCAAAAAATAAGAGCCAGGTGTCCCACATTCGAATGACAGTCCACCACTCTCCAGGCTCCTGGCCTGGCCCACCACTTGCTCATCTGTAACAAGGGAATGGCTGAAGCTATTTCTCATGGAGTGGCCATGAGAAGGAAATGACTGGGTCACATCCTATGCTCTGGAGGAACTGACCCCTATTATCACAAGAACCTCTATTGCAGGCTACGTTCTGTTCTAAGCACCTTTGATGTGTTCACTCTAATGCTCTCAAGCACTCTGTGAGCTGGGACGATTATCCCCCCTTTGACTCATAAGGAACCTGAGGTGCCATAACGTTAAGTAAGCTGACTGAGGTCACAGGATCAACTGGGTTGAACCAAGATTTGGACCCAAGCAGTCTGGCTCAATCAAGTTAATGCTTTTTAACAATTGCTGTCTATTTACTTCTGAAACGGCAACTGATACCAAGTACATGCTCAAGAAATATTGGCTATTAGTATTCCCTGTAGAAATAAGAAATCAGGTAAGCAAATGCATTTGGTAATATATATATAAAACAAACTCCCATAATCTATTTTTCATCCTGGTAAATTATTCTCTCATAGTAAAAAATGTAAATTTACTCATTTTGCTTACTGTGCCTCTGTACTTTTGGGAGATGGGTTCTGTCTGTCTCTGTCTCTGTCTCTATGTCTCTCACATACACAGACCACACACACAGATTATATGACACCTACTTCAGAATTCACTAAAATCAGGACCCATGAAAATAATCATAAAGTTTTATTGGAACTCCATGCCATAAAAAATAATAAAATAAAATAAAATGGCAGTAAGCATTTTTCTTCTTGTACTTGCATGTCACCACAAAAAGAGCTGCCCCATTACTTGGAGTCTAAGTACATGATGCCATACCTTCCAGTGAGTTTCTGGCAGGAATTCTTTGCACAGATGGTGGTTGGACCAACACCTCCATACGAGATGGATAACTCTCTAATGATGCCATCCCCTTCTCCAAACAAGACTCTCATTCCGGAATTGACTATTGCAAGTGCATTCTGTGGCCGCTGGGCTTGTCGGAAGGCTGACACAAATTCCCACTGAAGGCAAAAGTGGCACATGTACAACCATGGTGAGTGACAACTATGCACTAGGCAATTTATGTATGTTGCCTCATACATCCTTGTCACACTCTCTGTTATGGGCTGAATTGTGCCCCCCAAAATTAGTATGTTGAAGTCTTAACCCCCAGAACCCCAGAATGTGACTCTATTTGGAGATAAAGTCTTTAAAGAGGTAATTAAGTTAAACTGAGGTAATTAGGGTAGGTGGTCATCCAAGATGGTAGTGTCCTTATAAGAAGGAAATTATGGACACATGTGTCCAAAAACCATGTGAAGACAGGGAGAAGAGATTATTTATAGGCCAAGGAAAGAAACCTCAGAAGAAGGAAAGAAGCCTCAGATGACACCTTGATATCAGACTTGGAAGCCTCTAGAATTGTGAAAAAATGTTTTTTGGTTGTTTAAGCCACTCCGTCTGTGGTTCTTTGTTATGGCAACCCTCAAAAACTAATACACCCTCCAAGACAGACTTGATTATTCCCATTTCTTGATGGGGAATAGAAGATCTGGAGTAATTAGTAATTAGTAATTGAAACCAGGTTTTGATATCGAATCTGGCTCCAAAGCCCTTCTTCTTTCCACTAAATTTTTTTGCAAATGTATTTTTTCAACCTTTTTTAAACTTCAAAATATAGATAGAGGTATATTTTCAAGAGGTATATTTTAGGGAAAAGCCTCATAGGAAAAAGAATTTTAAAAATTTGTAGGATAGAATCCTTAGAGTTTGGATTGGGGCTGTGTGGGGGAGAGAGAGAGAAAGAGAGGCAGAAACAAAGGTCTCTTGATTCTAGGATTCATAGGGGAGAACTGAGTGCAAGTAAAATGTAATTATTTGAGATTCCTCATAATCTACCCTATAAATATTCAGCACCTTTCCTGAACCCACTATTTTTTGGAATTAACCAGATGCCTCCAGGTAAAACCAGGAAATTGAAAGAAGGATATTCTTACCTTCTTTGAGCAGGGGATGTTCACTGAGACCAAGATTTCTTCAGGTTTTAGATCTGCAGTGGGGCACTTTCTGAGAAACTGCTCATTTAAAGGAATCTGTCGTTTGCCTTCTGTGGAAAGAAATGGCACTTCCCTAGAATCTGTCCTATTAACAATCAAACGTCAAAACTTTGGAAATAATTCTACCAAATATTGGAGGGAACTGATGGGGAAAGGAAGTACTCTTCCTATTTTTAAAAAATCTTTTACCCTACAATGGGTAAAAGTATTTACCCAGACTAGATATCATCCTTTTTTTTTTTTAACTTCTTTGCTTGCTTGTAAATAAAAATATCTGAGTAGCCCAGATGTCACATAGAACAGGACACTGGCAGTTCTCTTACCAAACAGCATAATTCATTTTGAGCTTTATAGGTAGGGAGTAGATATTAGTGTATCTCTTGATTTTATGATCAAGTCATTCAACAAACATTTTTTGTTCATAATCAGGAAACCTCCCAGGTTTGATAGTGAATTAATAAATTTTCTATAATGGGTTTTTATACTAGTGAGGTGTTATTTTATTAATCTTATTTTTCCAACACCTAAATAATTTTTGTTCTTTAATCAGTATACTGGGGTAAGGACCATTTAAAGCTATAACAAAAAATGACTTTAGAATGAAATCTAAGAGTTTTTGATGCTTATATTCATGTCACAAAACTTATTTCTCATTATGTAACTTTTTAAAGGGGATGTTACTTAAATTTATAACTTGAATGCATATCTTCCTCCTTAAGATAATTTTGTGGTTTAGATGACATGAAGAGTAGGTATTTAACAATGCAGGTAATAGAAAGCTAGTCCATATTTTGAAATGAAAATGAAAAAAGATTTCAATTAGAACTTCCTAATAATTGTTAACAAAGTTGGAATAAGAGAAATTAGTTAAAAGTTCTGGGCTTAGATTCAAAAACAGAATTCAAATAAATAAATATAAAATGAAGCCCAACTATTGTTCAACAGAAAAAAACATCAATAGGCTTCCATCGATGACAAATTAAGTATGAGCACACTGAATGATGTGGGTCCTGCAACACTCCTGTTCCACCTGGAGAGTCCTCAGCAAAGGAGCCCAATAGTTAGTTCTCAGTAGCTTATAGTTCTCCCCGCTACTCAGATCACATCAGGACGTTAACCAGCACAAGCATTGTCTGTGTAGGGGGGCCCATATGAGAAAACATCTAGGACAAGACCTCAAAAAGAAAGAGATGAAGACATTGGAAGTGTGTGGAATTAGGACCAGACTGATCAACTTCCTAGCGTCCAGAAAAGTGGAGAGAATTATTAATACTACAGAGAATAGCCATTTTCAAAACTGGATGTCCCACTCGATCAGAGGGGGAAAAGTTAGGAGTAGGTTTAATAACCCCCAAGAAAGAGCTGTCACTTACCTTTTGAGAGCAAGTTGAGGGTACAGTTGCCCACAACCAGGAGGGGATTTAGATCTGAATCCAGATGCCTGCTCACAATGTGGCCTCCTAAAGACTTTTTAAAATAATGGGTTATTTTCATACCAGTTATGTAATTACAAAAATACAGTTGATAAAGTAAGGATTAAGCAAGGCTCTGGAGAACCATTTTTTTTGTCTTTTCCAAAATAAAGACATATGATGGTTTGTCAGAGACAGTCACCCAAGGGATGTGCCCCAGAGTTTACTGTCATCTATACATACAGCCATGTTCCTGATCTGGGATCCAGCTAGAGTTCTCAGATGCTTCAAGAGAGCCTGGTACATCTGTGTCTTCTCCTCTGGGAGCTTCAGGATCAGGTCAGCCAGGATGTCCTTCACTTGAGCCAGGCTGAGACCAGCACCTAAGGTCAGCTCTGGAATGAAACCATTTGTAAATAATGCAGTGTGGTCACTGCTGACCTAGAAATGTCCATTAGACCAAAGCTATAGCCATGGGACTTTTATATTGGATACACAGCAACCTGCTTATTGGTGGTAATGGTGGTGACAGAGGTGGTGGTGGTGACAAGAGGTGTTGGTGATGGTGGTGACAAAGGTGGTGGTGATGGTGATGGAGGTTAATTTTTTGAACACTCACTGTTCAAGTGCTATGTTGAATGCTTCACAGAATGTCCTGAGTCCTAACAAACATTTGAGATAATAGCCCCATTTCTCAGATGAAGAAACTAGGATTCAGATTTTGACTAAATTCTTACAGCTAATATTTGACATAGTCAAGAACTCAACTACAGAGCCACACTCCAAATCCACATTTATATTGCTTGTTATCATTGTTATTAAATCAATTTCTGTTATGTGAGTGGACAAACCAGTCTAAACGGCTTAAACCTAGACTTGCGGACAAACCAGTCTAAACGGCTTAAACCTAGACTTGCTTTGCTCCCTAAAGACTATATTCTGTTTATCTTCTATCCAGTACTTATCACAGTACCCGTCACTGAATAGCTGTTACATTTTTGTGATATGGCAGTCATCAAAGTTCTTCAGTAAAATTATGACTATTTAGACAATTAGTATCTTATTCATGTAACTATAGAGAATTCTTCCCTAAGACTCATCCAGAATATTGTCATTCTTAACAGAGAATCTCTCGGTATATTAAAATTAGGAACAATTCTTTTTTGCTTGTCTGCTGGGCAAAGGAAATACACTGATTAATGCATATTAACTAAGAAAACAAGGACTGTAAGAACTCACCATTAGAGGCATAGTTCATAACAGTTAGATCTACAATTCCATCAGGAGAAATTATGACTGGGTAAAAGATGCCTTTAAATTTCATTTCAGGCCCTAAGGGATTAGAAAAGAAAACAAAATTTGAAATTGTGATTACAAGTAATATCTTTAAATATATAACAGTTACATATCTTGTTATTGGTCTGTTCATTACCAAACTACATACACCAAGAATGGCCAGATGGACCTTCCCCAAACTTCAAGGACTCTTCAGCCTTGTCAGCTTTAGAACTTGGCTGACAAGTCCAAAACAATTTGTGGCATACTCAGAATCTCTTTGTGAAGATTCTAGGGGTAGGCAATCAGAGAGGTAGACAATCAAACTGATGGGCACAGTAGAAGGGCCCTGTAACTTCCACATAAGCAAACCATGTTATACCTACTGATACAACACCAAGAGAGGAAGCAAAGGGCAATTTCAAATATGAGCCCCAGATCCATTTGCACATGGACAGACATGATGCCGTCCCTGGAACTGCTGCTTCTGGGGTGATATGGAGCAGTCTTCCTGGGTGTAACTCTGCCCTGCTCCGACTAGGCGCAAGAGGAATTTACTTACATAATGGAAGTTGTGGAGGTCTTTGAACAATGCTGAGGAAGTAAAGTCTTAATAATTAAAAGTGCTACTTCAGAACGTTTTTCCAGAGAACATGTAATATATGAGGTTCTTTCCCCCAAATGCATTTTCCTCAGTTTCCTTATAAGAGGTCTTGGGGTTCTACATACCCACAGAAGTGTTCCCCATGACAACAGGGGCCTGAGGATACTTGGCTTTAGCTTCTATCAGTTCCTTCAGTGTCACTGGAGAAATCCATGTCATTCTCTCACCACCAAAAATCCTGGTCCTTTGTGGTTGTTTCTCAGCCATTATCTATTGAAAAAACAATAGAGATTCAAGATCATCATTTCTGTCTGCTTCTGCTCTATCATTGTAGGAACAGAGAAAGGAAATGGAGGTCTTCAAAAATAAAATAAAAATGACCTAAGAGTAGAGCTTTACTAGCAAGAAATTAGAGTTCAGATGAAAAGTACAAAAATATTTTATTCCTTCTAAAGACTGTTCCCATACACCTTCTTTTGGTGCTTTTCTATCTCAAAAGAATTAATTTCAAAGTTTAAAAATATTTAAACATGCTTAATTTTGTCAAATCATTCTAAGGAAGAACTTCAGCAAAACCAGAAGTAGAAAACGCATCTACATCTACAAGTGTGATGTTGTTTCATGACTTTTTTTTTTATAGATACTATCTGCTGCTTCTTACAGTCAAGTGTCCCCTCTTGGTGACTCTACTCTCATTTCCCCATCTCCCCTTGGTCCCAGACTCTTTAGAGCTTAGGCTAAGGATGAGAGGTGAATATGACTTAGTTTCTAGTCAGCTTTTGAGAGGATCCAGAAGCAAACACCCTCCCTGGCATTTCACCACGAATTCCTCTAGGACAAGCTCAACATTGCCTTACCATGAGCTCTGGAGGAAAGATCAATTCCTGAGTTGGATCCAGTGGCAGAAACTCCTCTTCTGAGAAGAGTTTTGTGCTTGTCTTAAAAAGAGAGAGTACAGAAGTTATTGCCATCAGATGACTGTACTTTAAATCCTTTTTGGAATGAGATCAAAAGAAGATAGACATAAAGCAGACAAAAAAAAAAAAAAAAAAGAGCCACTGGCCAGCCACAGGTTCTAGGTTCTAAGTCACAGGCTTTAACACAGACCTGGTCACTAGCGACTCACTGCAGATATCAATGGGCCTGCAGAGCCCTCAATGCCCTAAGCATTCTCTCGGGGAAAGCAGAGGAGGCAGGATAGGCAGCAGCCCCAGATACAGCTGAGAACAAGAATGTTTCCCTGCACAGCCACCTTTCCCATCACAACTCCCTCTGTCTGTCCTTCCATTTCCCTGACATCTCCACTTTGCTCTGGTCCTTGAAAAAAGACTTGCAAAACACTTTTTTAAAACTAAGAAACATTAAGGGATCAATGTGTTTTCCCTCCTATAAGAAGCTGTACTTGAATGAGAGTAATATCAGGCATGAGGGATAAAGCTGTTAGGAAGGTTTGCATGTATTTGTGGGTGTTTTTTTTTTTTAATAGAGATGGAGTGAGGATGGGAGAGGGGATGTGTTTACATACCTCAAATTAGTCGAACTGAGCAGTTATTTATTCTTCCTGGAACTAAGCTGGTCTCTGCTCATGTACTGAGAAAATCTTATAAAACAATTTACATTTCACTGACCTTATTTCCTTCCTCAAATTCTGGTAATTCATTTATTCCTTGATCCAAACAACAAATCCCATTTTCTTTACTTTGACAGCAGCCAGAAGTCTAGTGGGTAAAAAAAACATTTAACTGAGAATTTGTAGCTGGTTCTACTCAGTGTTCTTTTTCAGCTTTATTGAGGTATCATTGACAAATAAAACTATATATTTAAAGTGTACAATGTGATTATCTGACATATATTTATTCTGCTAATGATTACCACGATCAAGTTAAATGACTCATCGATTCCTGCACATAGTTACTATTTGTGTGTGTGTATGCTGAGAACATTTAAGGTCTACTCTCTTAGCAAGTTTCAAGTACACAACACAGTATTGTTAACTATAGTCACCATGCTGTACGTTAGATCCCCAGAGCTTATTCATCTCGTAATGGAAGGCTTGTACCTTTTCACCAACATCTCTCCATCTCTTCCAGAACCCAGCCCCTGGTAACCACCATTCTACTCTGTTTCTATGAGTTCAGCTTTTTTTTTCTTTTTTACATTTCACACATAAGTGAGATCATACAGCAGTTTTCTTTCTCTGACTAATTTCACTTAGCATAATGTCTCCTAGATTCATTCGTGTTGTAAATGGCAGGATTTCCTACTTTCTCATGGTTGAATAATATTCTATTGTAGTGTGTAGATAGAGAGGTAGGATATATATATTTTTGGCTATTTGGGGTCTTTTTTGGTACATGCACACACACACATATTTATCTATTCATCTGTTGATGGATACTCAGATTATTTCCACATTTTTGGCTCTTGTGAATAATACTGCAGTGAACATGAGAGTGAGATAACTCTTCAAGGTAATGATTTCACTTTCTTCAAATATATATCCAGAAGTGGGATTGCTGGATCCTTTGGTGGTTCTATGCTTAATTTTTTGAGGATACTCCATACTATTTTCCATAGTGGCTCCAACGATTTACATTCCCACCAGCACGGCACAAGGGCTCCCTTTCCTCCATATCCTTGCCAACTTTACCATTTTTTGCATTTTCCTGATGATTCGTGATGCTGAGCAGTAATTACTAAGCAACTTAAAATATGCAAAGATCTTATAACAAAGTCTGGCACACAGCAATAAATATTAACAATGTTTGTTAATAATTTTATTAACAGTATATATTAACTAGTATTGTTATTATCACTTGGTTCTTATTTATTATATACTGATTTCATAGGTTAACTCCACAGGGCAAGTTAATGCCCCTCATTTCATTATTGCTTGTTTATTTATTCACTCAACAAATATTAAGTGGCTCCTCAGTGTATGGTGACCAGCCGTCAAGATGCACAGCCTTGGCTGTCAAGCAGCCCAGCAGCTGGTGAAGAGATGGATGAGCAAATGGGCAATGACACCACAGTGGGACCAGGGCTGTGACAGTGGTATACACAGAGGGCTGCTGGGAGCACGAGGGCAGGGCACCTGAGCCAGATGAACAGATCGGGAAAGACCTCTCGGAAGATGATCCACAGCCAATACCAAAGTGCTTAGGTGCTCACCATGTGCCTAGCAGGCATGCTTGATGAGAGAGAGCAAGCACCCTGCCCAAGGGCAAACAACAATAGGAAGATAACAATAGGAGATAAGAAGTAGCCCTGTATTTGTAACGCTTAACACCCCAACTGTTTTGTTTCCTTGGGGAAAAAATATACTCAATGATGTATTCCTTTCAACTTACTGTGCAGAAAGTCTTGCAGGTATCTATGATGGGCCTGTATCCAGTGCAACGGCACAGGTTACCTGAAGGAGAAAGGCCCAACTCCATTACTCAAGCAACCTTGGAAGAGGCACAGTGGGCCACATGCATGACGGACCCCATCCAAGAAAGAAGCCCTGTTTGACACTTCAGTCCACCTAACCTGCAAAGTCAGATTTTTTTCATCGGTAACTTGGGGTATTTGGTTGAGTCTTGTGATATAGTTTAACAACCCAGCTGTTTATAGTCTATCTCTGCAAATAGTTTTAGTATCTTCTCCTTGCTGTAGATGCTCAAAGAACACAATGATTACAAGCCAAAAACTCTTGGTCTACTACCACATTCAAGGGCTAAGCTGCAGTTGATAGAAAGACCAAAGGCATTATGTAGTAGCAAAGGTAATTATTCAACATTGGGAGCAACCATGCACAAAATTTATTTACAACAAATCATTAGGCCAGTGTTTCTCTCACAGTGGTCCATATCCCACAGTCACCCCCAACGAAGCCACTGAGGCAAGCTCCCTGGGGTTGGGTTCCAGCAATCTTCATTCATTATAAATACTCCATCTAAGTCTTAAGCACCCTAGAATCTGAGAGCCTTTGTCACTTGCACACATTGCAAATAGTCATGAGATCAAGTGCATAATGAGACCCAAAGGAAGTCAGGCAGAAGGCAGTTTATGTACTGTGTCTCCCCTTTCTACTTCTGTGGGCTCTGGTCTTCCATATGTGCAGAGGAGCTAGAGACATGAGCTTTAGCCTCATGTTCTCTGGCAGAAAAATCAGGTCTTTGGGAGTCAGGGGACAAAGACAAATAGAGCCATGGAGGTAATGATTTCAATACCTCTGTTTCACCAAAAGTAGGATTTGGAGGCTATTTTTTTTTAAATTGTTTAGAATCTTGTTAATGAATATCCCTTCCACCCATACACATGGAGCTCCCAAACTTGATAAAATCATTCTATATTGGATAAAGACAGTTAAGATTTGGAATTAGTATCACCAGAAGATCTCAATTGCTTGATTTCATGTTGTATTTGTCAAGAGCACTCTGTCATTTAAAATGGTCCTGGGAGTACCCACTCGAAAAGAGAGAGTTGTTGGAGAGAATGGTATGTGGAGAAACTGGACTGTTTCTGAGAATAAATAAATAAAATGGCTCTGTAAAATTTATAAAAATAAGCAATTAAAAAAGGAGGAGACTTACAGACCAAGAAAGACCTAAGAAAATAGCCAAGTACAATGTGCAGATCTTGGTTGAATACTGATTTGAACAAACCAACTCCTCCACTTATTGGTGGCATAATGGAATAAATTACTTTCTCTTAAACCTCAGTTCCTCCAGGTAAGAAATGAAAATAATAACAGTGACTATCTTATACAGTGACTGTAAAGAGTGAGATCACCTTTATATGGTAGTTAATACACTGTGTGGTAGGTGCCAGAGGTCCAGTATTTGCTCTCATCATCATCATTATATAAGAATAAAAGCGCACACACACATATAACCTACCACCAAGGGCATCGGTTAACTGATCCAGAGAGGGCTCCAGATGGTTCCTCAGCAGCGTGTAGATGGACATCACCATCCCAGGGGTGCAGAACCCACACTGTGTGCCATGACACTTGGCAATCCTCTCCTGGAAGCACAGAGTGGTTAAAAATGAAAAATCTTGGTCCCTGCCCCAGATCTACTGAATCAGAACATGCATTTTAACAATTTCCTCAGGCAATTCGTTTACGCATTAAAATTGGAAAAGAGGCCCAGGAAATTCTTCTCATTCTAGTGCCTCCTTTTCTTGGGCTGGATGGCTGTGGGTACTGGTCCTCACCAGCTTTTGAGCTTCATTAAAGGTTCTCAGCTTTTAGCATCACCAGGAGAGCTTTGAAATTTCCAATAAGCCCAAGCAGCACCCCCAGACCAACTGACTTAGAATCTCTGGGGGTGGGGGACAGACAGAGATTTTTAAAAGATTCCCAGGTGGTTTCAGTATGTAGTCCAGGATGGCAATCACTAAGATAAAGGTTGCTCCCTTTCCAGACCTTCAGAAAAATGAACCAAACTGCACTCAAGTTGAGAAAACAAAAAAACACTCCAAGTATTTCCCAAGTGCCTTCTAGTTGCCCACTACTGCCCTAATGATTAGCACCTAGGAGTTTGTTTACAAAATGCCATCATCAACCCACAGAACAATCAAGAAGGAAACATTGCCTTTGTTTCTCTTCCAAACCTTTTTCTTCTCTGCATTTTCTCTTAGAAGTCTAACTTCAAAGGTGCAGCTCCATGTTGGAAGCTGTCTTGGCTACACTGCCACAATAGCAGAGCAGCAGTTACTAAATGAAAGGGGGTGCCTGCATGCCTGCGGACAGCCAAGTCTCACAAGGGTATCCAGGCAGAATTTGCTCCCTCCAGGCAATGAGGTTTCATGGAAAATAAACAGAACCCAAGATCCCTTCAAGTCCAGAGCATTTGAAGTTTGGCCATTTTCAGTGTCGCGCCTGTTTTTTCCCGGTTGCGCCCATTCCTCATAAGTGACCCTCATTAACACAGATTAAAAACAAGTAGCATCAACATTTTAATGAGTGATGTATGAATAATTTAAATAACTAGGAGGTACCCTTTCACTTGAGGCAAAGTTCTAACAAGGTGCCACCTGGTCAGAAGAACCTCAAAATTCATTGACAATTCTTATTATTTGTTTTCTGAACAAGGCCTAAATTTAACAAATCTTTTTGGTACCTGAGATTTTCATTCAGGTTTAAAATCATGTTATTCATTTTCCACTTTATAAAGAAACAACAAAATCATATTCCTTAAAGCACATGAATCTTGTTTCTTTGACTTTAGAAGATGTTAGATGGACAGGTCTCATCTAATTAGAACACAGAAAATAAACCCAGTGATGTCAGGGTTTTCTTTAAAAAGGAAAAGTCCTCTAGTCTTCCAAAAGCATCCTTCCAAGAAGTCAGTCATAGAACACCCACACATCCCAGGTTTAATTTGTTGGTAGTGACCAAGCAGCAGGTCCAGGCCTCTCAGCTGTATTGCTCTGTGGGACTCAGCGCAGTTTTCAAAGCACAGAAATCCCATGAGGAAGAAGCACGCCCTCACCTGAACAGGATGAATCCTGGCCTTGGTGCTTCCTATACCTTCTACTGTGGTGACTGCAGCGCCATACAGGGAACAGATGGGAGTCAGACAGGCATTGGCTGGGTAATGTCTTCAGAATGCAAAGAAATGCACAAATTACATTGTATCCAGTGGGAAAGGGGACATAGATTCACTGAGCACCTTCAGTATGGCAGGTTTTGTATAATGTCCCAGGCTTTGCATGTACATTTTGTCTTTTAAGTCATAATCATTTTATAGAAGTAGAATCTGAGGGTCTGAATGATTTGTTCAGGGTCACAGCTGAAGTATCAGAGACAGGATTCAAAATAGGCTTCCTAAATCTAACTCCAGAACAGTTTCCACTTAGTTTTTTCTCTTGAGTGAGGAGCTGATGTTCTCTTCTCTAGTCACATGTGACCAATCACCCTGAGTGTATTCCATCTTCCAGGCAGATGCTGGACCAGGGGTTCAGCAAGAAAGTGAATTTGATATTGTGCTTCAGAAGAAAATGTAGGGTGTGGGATTTAGAACTCCTCAATCCCACAAACCAACTGCTAGAAAATGTCCAACTCAAAATGACTCCTAAAATGTTCTCATTCACCGGAAGAACTACAAATGGCCAATAATTGCATGTAACAAGCGTTCAACCTCAAAAACAATCAAGAGATTCAAATTAAGCAATGAGAAACACCATTTTAGCAAAAAAAAATGATAAAAACTTTTAAAAATTCTAATAGGCCTTATTAGCAAAGCTTTTGGAAAATGGAACTCATACTGCTAAGAATGTAAACTAGAGAGCTCTTCTAGGAGACAGTTCTCCATAAGGCATAAAAACCTTTAAGATGCGCATAATCTTTCACCATGCCTTTCTACCTCTATGGATGTATCATAAAGAAACAGACACAGAAATAAGCATAAACATATATATATATGTGAATGCTCACTGGTACACTGCTTATGATAATGAAAAAGTCTAAGTGATCACTATTTGGGGATTGGTTTTGGTAAACCCCCAAAATGGAACATACACTGCCATTAAAGTTATTTTTATTATTTTGAGAAGATATTAATGAGAAATTAAAATATATAGGTTTCTAGTATGTGTTCAAATCTATACACACAAAAGAAAGATTGGAAGACTATTACATATTTATAAATAAATGTAGATATTAATTGAGTGCCTACTACGTGCCTAGCAGAGTTCCAGGCACTAGGATTCATTGGTGAACAAGACAAAATCCCTGCCCTTGTTAGATTGCATATTCTAGTTGAGGGAAGTAGACAATACATATGTACATAAGCAATACATACATATGTATATCAGTTGAGATGGTGAGAATTGCAATGAATAAATTAATATAAGCTAAGAGAATAGGGAGTTGCAGAGATGAGGTGGGGCATTGCTATGTAAGAGGTGATCATAGAGAGCTGAGAATTTTATGTTTTTGCTGGAACCTGAATTATTTGAAGGAGCCAGATATAAAAGGTTATGAGAGAAAACATTCCAGGCAGAGGGACAACACATGCACAGGCCCTGAGGCAAGACTGAGCTTGGGATATTAGGGACCAAAGGAGGAACAGAAAAAGGCCAGGAAGGCTGCAGCATAGCAAATACAGGAGGAATGATAGGATTGAAGGTTGAGAGACACAATGGTACATTTTCAGAGTAAAGGTCAGGAATTCAAATATTGATTCAAAGGCCATGGAGCTTTCAGTTAAGATGTAGAAAGTTGTAAAAGACCTTCACTCTCATTCTAAAAACCCAAACAAGCCATATAAGCTACATAATCATAGTTTTTAAAATATGCATCAGATATTGAGAATATAAATAAACTTAGATGAACTAAATTCCATTAAGTACAAGCCATTCATAAGAGAGAGGAGGCAGAGCTCTTCTCATTTCTGACTGAAATGGACAGACAAGGAGGGCTCTGCCTTAGACAGGAGTAAGGAGAAACCACACTAATTTTCAAGCAACTTTGAACAGTCACATGTGCCCTGGTGCAGCACATTATAATACAAAGCTGGACTGCACCATTGCCAAACTCATCCCCCACCAGATTTCACTGAGTGCTGAAGGTAATATCCTAAAAACAGAAGCAGGGGAGGAGTACTGAAAGCAACTCTTCAGGCACATCAGCTCTTAGAAAAGGAAAACTGGGGGAAGAGCAGGAGAACTGAGAGAAAATTACAGGCTTCATATGGCATAGAGCAATTGCCAACTTCCAGAGGCTAAAGGCAGGGTGGTGTGGCTGCAAGAAATCTCTCAAAGCATAGAAAGTGAGACAGGAGAGAAAAGATAACTCCCCAGTGACCTAATAAGTAGGCAGCAAAGCTGTAAATCAGGAAGATGTCTCTCAGAGCTCAGAAAGCAGGTGGAACACACATACATCTCTGAAATCTCACCAGTGCTCCAATCCTCAGTCCTCATCTGAAATCTGTGAAGTGATGTGAAGTGGTCTGCCATATGCAAAATTGGAGTCCCAAAGAGGTGAGAGACAGAGAGCAAGAGAGAATGGCTTAAGATGTTTCCAGAGTTGATAGAAGAAATTAACCCACAGATCCAAGAAACTTGGCAAACCTCAAGAACGATAAATATCAAACAAAAGAGAAGATATTAAATGTAATGGGAAGCCATTGGTGATTTTTAAGAGTGCTGTGATTTGATTCAAACTTGAAACAGATGACTCTGACTGATGAATGGAGAATTCACTACATGGGTGCTAGGGCAAGAGCAAGGAGATAAGTTAGTCAGCTGTAGTATGATATAAAAGTGTGAGGATGGCATTATTCTTCACTGCTATTTCGACTCTTCCTTTCTTCCCCAGACAGCACAGGGAGTTGGACAGCCTTTCAACTTTCATCAGGGAATTCTTTGACCATATGTTATCCTCATTGGTGGTACATTTTTTTCTAACCTGTTCATATTTCTGAGACTATGTCTTTCTTGTTTATCATTGCCTAGTACAGTTCCTGTCACATACAGGTGCTCAATACATATTTACCAAAGGAGGGAACAAAACAAAGTTCAAAACTACAAAAACCCAACCATATCTGGACTTTATTGCAAGGTACCTTATCTTCTTGGTAATGGGGTTATATCGTGATACCATCACCGTGCAGGCACCACAGCCTCCACTTCCACAGCCATACTTAGTTCCTGTGAGCCGGACTGGAAAAAGCATAGTTAAAGATAATGTGTTTTCCATAATTCTTTTTCTAGAACAGCTCTGACCTTAGAGGAGAATACCATCAAAGACTCTTAAACGCATAGTTAAGTTCAACACATTTAATCAAATGATGCATGCATGTCTTAGCTGCTATTAGAATCTTGTAAATTCTTGATTTCCATTTATGTGTTATAGTCTCCTCCTTTCAAAACAACTGGACCCCAGATTACTAAAAATAGAGACTAACTAAAAAAATAAGAGTTTATACATATAGGGACTTGAATATTTGAATGTATGAGTACATTGCCCATGTGTTCTCATCCATATCTGTGTCTTTGATGACACACAAAGTAAATGTCAAGTTACAAATAATTTTTGGATAATTTGTGTCATACTATTCATGTTTCCCATATTTCTCTGCTTCTCAGTGGCACAAACTGCTAGTTATTACCCAGTAGCTGCTTTTCCATTCTTCTTTGGTAATAGAAACTCCAATTTTTTAGCTACATACATAGTTGCCTAGAATAAAAAATAAATTTCTTTAGCCTCCTCAGCTAGTTCAGTCATTAACAATGCTGCCAGTGGGATGTAAGCATAAGCGTTGTGTAAGACTTCCAGGGGAGAAATGTTCTTAAAAGGAGAGGAGTGTCCCCTTTCTTCATCTCTTACTTCCACCTGTTTGCTAGAATTCAGATATGACGGCTTGACCTCAGTTCGTCATCCCTGACCATGAGGAGAAAGCTGCATGCCTATGAAGGTGTAGGGGGAAGACATAAGGAACTTGGTTCCCTGGTAACATTGTCACACTGCTTTACTAGCCCTGGTCTACCTACCTCTGGATTCCTGTGAGTGTGACAACCATGAGAATGTGTCTCGCAGACCTCCTCCAACAGGGAGGGTGATTGACCAAGAGACTCAGCAGCTCCCTTTGAAATCTACCACCCCCATTTTCATTAGGATCATGACTCCCATGGGTAGCTCCCCACTAATGGCTCAGTGCTATGGGGAGTCATGCAAGTCCTTGTCCACCAGCCCGAATGGCTCTGTTGAACATTCTCAGACTGCACAGCCATCTAAGACCCTTCCACTCAACCTTCCCTTCCTCTCTTCTTTACAGATCTGACTTGTTTGTATTATGGGTCTAAAAGATCCCTAAGCTTTCTCTGGCTCTCTTCCTATTTCCTTTCACTCAGGCATTTCACCTAATAAAATCCTTACACATTTAATGCCATTTTTTGGTGTCTGTTTCCCAGAGAACCTGTACTAACACAATGAGGGAGAAATAAACTTCTATGTCCTATCTTGTTTACTGCTATTTGGGATTTTCTGTCCCTCGTAAGTGAATTAAATCTTAGATATTATACTTCGGTACCATGGATAACCAGGAAACTGGTGTTCATTGTTTTTATGTCAAAGATCTTGAATGACTTCAGAAGATAATTGTTGATACTTTTTCAGTTGTGTACTCTTTTGGGAATTTCACTCTCTTTGGGGAAGAAAAGTGTACAAACTCCCACTGTTACATAATCTTGCATATAATTCAGTTGGGTATACAGACCTCTGGAAGCCCACTGGAGTTCATGCACAGTAGCTTAAGAATCCATTCCTTAGATGACTTTTATTTAGAAAGTTTTCTAAAGTAACATTTCAAGGCTTAATTTATCCATTGTTCTTTAATTTCATTTCAGAAGATTTCTGTGCCTTTTTTATTGGCCATGATGACTAGTCCTTGAAAGGAGAATGTCAGCATTGTGACTTAATTCTAAACGATCCTTAATCAAACCCTTTTAACATTTGCTAAAATTCCTATTGCTATTTTCTCCATTTTATACAATACATTTAGTGCCAAAAGAGATATTAGAAAGAACTTCATTCACCTGACATCACAGTTGTGCACTGCTTGCAAAACTAAGATGTAGGACTTTCTCAAAAAAGATAATAAAACTGTAAAAATAGAGAATCTGATTCAGCATAGCCCTTAAAATATATTGGAAATATCACCTGGTGAGGATATCAGAGCCAGTCACACATACAGACATACACACTCAAAGCAAAGGATACGTTTCTTCCTCAGGTATGGTAACAGCATTGTTTCAGGATCAACATTTTTTTCTATTACCTGTAAGAAGGAACATAAGAGTTATGCACATAAAGTTGAGAGAGCCAGTGTGATATTCACATTGACAGGTTCACCTGAATTTAACTAAAATGCATATTAATTAACTCTTCTACTCATATTTGCAGCTTTCTAAATGTTTCTGGAACACGTCTGTTACACACATCACCTCTCAAGTGTGAAGGGGAAATCTTAAGCCTCGCAACCACTTTGTCACTGTCCTTAGTACTGAACTCTCACCATTCTCTCAAATGCAGTGGTTGTTTCTACTAACAGGAATATTAATGACTCCTGTCCAGCTTTTCCTAGAAAGTCTGAAGCAGGTGAGGGAAAAGATATTAGTAGATGGAATAGAAAAGAAAGAAGTGTGTGTGGGGGGGGAGGTGGGGAATGTCTGCTGGAATAAAATATGTTTGAGAAATTGATATAGTTTTTTTTTAAAGACTTGTTTATCATGTTCAAAGAATTCGTTTTCAGAAAAAGATCACAATCAGTCATGGCCCCCAAATCAAAGAAATAAAAAAGAAGATAAAATGTGTATGTGAAGTGATAAGAATTTGTGTAATCAAGAACACATGTGGGAAGCAAGTTCGTGCGGGCAGCCTAACAGCATACCAATGCACAGCCGCACTGAAGGGATGGCATGATTGACATACTATGACTGGCCATATTTTCCCAAGTGATCATGTCTCCTCTTTTGATTAAAAATGGGGATCTCTTTTAGATTCAAATAGAAGGATGATTTGCCTCATTATTTCAGAAGTAAAGTTCACCTTTCACCATGTCATACTAGTTTTCCCTTCAGAGAAGTAGGTGAAGAGGAGACATGTGCCTATTCTGTAGGTGCCTCCTCACCTTCAGTTCTAATTGGCCATATTCCAGGCAAAGTAAGGCATATCCCAATTACCAAGGTCAGATCCATGCCCTGGAAGAGTCTGTAAGATAGTAAGAGAGATGAAATTGTGTGTGTGTGTGTACATATACTGTAATATGAGGAAAAATGTGAAGCACCCCCAGGCATCCCCAGCTTGACTGGCCCTCAAATGGAACCCTTTACTTCCCACCCTCATGCCTTCCTTTCTTTTCTTTAACTTGTTTAGTAGCCTCACCATCTGCTAGGTCATCTAAGCTTAAAAACCTGAGCTATTTTCAACTTTTTCTTTATTTCAATCTATCACAATCACTGTCATCAAGTCCTGGCACTTACACTTCTAAAATGAATCTCTAAGTATCCTCCACTTCTACTGTCAGTCCCTGTAATCAACCTTTATTACCTCTTACCTGAAAAATCACAATAGCTGCCTAACAGGTCTCCTGTCTGCATTCTTGGCACCCAAAATGCCACCCTCTATACCACTACTGGAGTGACCTCCTTAAAATCTAAGTCAAATTATCTCCTGTGTCTGCTTAAATTCAACACTGGTTCCTGGCTGTCAAACTGCCATGCTGGGAATTCCTGAATTACTTGGGGGTGCTTGTTAAAAATGAAACTCCTATGGAATCAGGATTTCTGGGAGAGGGAAGCACAAAATGTGCATCTTTAATGAGTACAATGAGTGGGGTTAGGTGAATTTACATTCAAGAATTCCTGGAATACAAGAATTTCAAACGCTTTGGCATAGCCTACAAGGTCTCTTTGATAAGCTGCCCATTATCTCCTGCCACTCAACCCATGTATCTTGAACATGGTCAAAACAGGAGAACTGACCAGTCCAGTAATGCATGGACTTCTACCCTTCACTACATTTGTATATAGAATTCCTTCTGTCCTGAAAGTGCTCTCTCTTTTCTCCACTTGGCAGAATTTTGTATATCATTCAAAGCCCTGCTCAAATGTTCTCCTCTGTGGGGTGTGCTGCCTTCTAATAAGTCCTTCTCACTCTCTGTTCTAATTAACCATCCCCTGTGTTCCTATGGCCAGGGTTGACACATCTTTCAAAGATTTACTTTGCATCATAATTATTTGTGTATGTATAAGCCCCTATTGATCTTTAGAGAAACCACCTTCTGTTATTCTTCTTTATGTCAAATACTGAGCTAGGTGCTGGGGATTTATCATAAGGACATATTAAAGGTTTATTAATTTAAATGAATAACTTAAACACGATACATACAGTTTGCTATAAGAACACAATTTGCTATGATTTCTCATAGGCCAGGACATCTGAACAGAGGAAAAGAAATAAAAATAGAGAAGTGCCAAGAATGGTGACAGAAACTGTTGGTTATCTATTTCAGCATGCATTCTCCCTTTCTCAGTTCCTGTTGCTGGAATAGAGATGAAATGGCTATAATGTCAGCAGCTATTTTAGACCAAAGGGCAACACAGTAATGGCTGTAGAGGGAAAAAAAGGAGAAGAAACCTGGGACTCAGATGACACCATGAAGCTTCTGCACCAGACCCATAATATCTACCCCCAGCTGTCCTTTATGTCAAAGTAAAGATGATTTGTGTCTTGTTTCAAACACTGTTCATTTTGAGCTTATGCTATTTGCAGCTGAAAGTAATCCTAATTAATATATTTAATAGCAAACCCACACAGAAGCTCAAATTTAATGGAGAGACAGGATCTGGGTAGCGTAGATAATAAAGAATAGCATTTAGGCTTAAGAGAGCTTTGTATATTCTTGGAAGGAATTGGTAGAGGAAGCAGGTCCTGCTTGTTTGGGTATTTGTTCCAGAAATCTCAAAAAACTGAAGTCCAGCTCAAAGTGCCACTGCTTGAAATGTATTAATTTTCTTGATTTGGTGGATGGCATATTTGGGGCAGGGAAGTGGGAGCAGAGATCTAGCATGTACCCTGTCCTGGCAGGTCTTGGAGTACAGCTGAATACTTAGGACTAAGATAGTGGCTGGGAGCGGGGAGGGCGTGAGGAACAGAGTTATTCTCACTGATTCTGTTTGGAGAGATGATGCCAGTCCTTAGGTCAGGGTCACTGCATGTTTCCATCTCAGTATAGCTTTGGGTGCTGCAGGAGCAGTCTGTCCCTCTTTATCTCCACCAGCCTTTTGTAAGATTTCATGGTCGCATTGCACAAGGTTGAGAAATCACTTTCCTCTGGGCAAGCCTGTGTTTAGTGCCTGCCAGGGCCTTGCCAGATCCAAGACAAAGGAGAAAAGATGAAAGAGAAAGGAAACGAGGAGAGAGAAAAAGGGTGAAAGAATGGAAAACAAGGAAAGGAGAGAGGTATGTGTGAAAGGACAAGGCTAGGAGGTAGAGGAAGATAGGAAGAGCTGTATGTTTTGGGAGGTGGTTAGTACAGAACAGTAACCCAAACAGCCTTAGAGGAGAGAAGGAGGCCTGAGAAGACAGCCAGTGAGGACTTCTGTCTGAGCTTCAGGTGGCTTTAAAATTCATTTTAATTGCTGGTTCTTTCTGCTTAAGCCACCTCCACCCTCTCCACTTTTCTCTGAATCATTACAGCTATCCCAGCAGTCCAGCAATTTCCTCTCTCAGCTCTACAGACCAAGAACACAAGGGAATACTAGCCAACGGACAGCTCTTTCCAGATTCCTACATTTATATCAAGACCCTATGTTTTGTTGAGCAAATCACACTTGATGAATACTTCTCAGCTCCCTTTACACTTTTGGGCATGTTCTGGTCCTACACGTGAAGCATATTATTTTCCAGTCCAGTATTACAATCATTTCCACATACAGAGTGTTTACTGTGTGCCAAGCACCTTGCTAATCACTCCATCAAATTTAATCTTCAGGCCAATTCCATGGGAGAAGGCACTGGTATTAGCCCCATTTTACAGAGGGGAAAACTGAGAACCACTGATATTTAACTTACCTGAGCAGCAGAGCAGGCAGTTCAGAACTCAAACCTATGCCTAACTAGTTCCAAAGCCCACACCTCTGATTGCTACACCTCAGAGCCTCATCGAATGGCACACTTCACTTCCTGAACTGTGTTAGAGAATGGCATGTAGGGTATAATTTATCCACAGGCTCTTCCTTCAAATACCATGTTAAATGGGTCACATCTTCTGGGGGGCCCTGTTGGACCAAGTAAGATTTCAGAAATCTCTGCAACTAGATAGGCAACCAATGTGTACCGGCCTTTTGTCCAGATGGCCTTAGCTGCTGTCCAATGTCACACTCTTTGGTGATCTGATGGAATTTTACAAAAACCACAGACCAAGGCCAATCACATCACTCAGAGTCTCCTAACTAGTTCTAAGTTTCTTTTTAAAAGGTAAGTGTTTAATCCTAGAGGTCATATTTGACTTCAAGACCCCTCTTCCCTGATGGTTTCTCTTTCTCACTTTTCTCAACAGTCCCTCACCCTCTCAACCAGAAACTTTATTCTAATTCCAGCCATGTGGTCATCAGGTTTGCTTGCCAGGACTGAAGCACACCCCTAACAGAAATTGGAAGGGAAGGGAAGAGGTGACATGATTTATTTTAACAGGGTGATTGCACAAACATCTGAATCAACATCTCTAGAGTGTACCTTCCAAATGGTCACAAGAAATTTGGCACCTAGGAAAATAATACCACAGATAAGAACCAGCTTGTCTATTTTTAAAATCAATAGAGCACAAACTATTGTTAACTATTATATTAAAAATCTCATTACAGTTTTTTTTTTTTTTTGTAACAGGGGAGAGAGGAAGGAGAAGAAGCTAAATTCAAAAACCTGTTCTCTCATTTAACCAAAACCCTTACCATTACCTACAAAGCCCTGGCAATCTGGTCCCCCGCCACATCTCCAGCCCAACCAACCTCCTTGCTGCCTTTTAGCACACAGAAATCCTCATGTCTGAGGACCTTTGCCCCTCCATTCCCCCTTTCTGGAATGCTCTTTCCCCAGATGTTTGCTCCTCACTCCACACTGATCACTGCTCAGTTGTCCCCATCTCAGAGAGGCCTGGACAACCATCCCACTTAAATTATCAGCTCCTGCCCACTCTGTGCCCTGAGTTTGCATTGCTTTTCGTCCTCATGTTTAGCACTGTATGCCATTACTCATTTCTATTTATGCCTATCCTGGCTGCCTCTCCAGCACAGCACAAGCCCCGTGCAGCAAGGACTTTGTCATTTCTGTGCTCTGCCATAGCCCCTGACTGGCACAGAGCTGGCCCTTAACAAATAAATAGTTTAAATATTCATCATCACTCTTCGTGAAGTAACATTTATTCCCTTTAACAGAGGGAATGAGGCTCTAAGAGGTTAGGGCAACTCATTAAGAGTTGGAGTCAGAATCCAATCTTTATCTGTCAAAAGGTCAGAGTTGTGTTTACTATGCCATCCAGTCATGCAAAAGAAGAACAATTGACAAAATGTAACACCTCACCCCATTGTCATACCTCACTTTCATAGCAAGCAGTCCTGTGCGGGAATCCTCACAGCCTCCATTGCAGATGGGGAAACAAGTGAATCTTACTCGGTGTGGAACCCAGGCAACAGGGGCAAAGAAAGGTTTACCTGGCCTAGAACTTGTACAGTTTTGAGGGGCTCCTCTTTAAGAAAAACAACACAAAACCATAAACGCATAATTAAGCTCAGGGCCGTAGAACAGGCCTCAGTCACAGGTGAGAGGTCCTGATGCTTGACCTTCCTTAGTCTCACATTGAGTCCCTCCAGCCAGTCAGGGAAAGTGCTGTGGCTGTCCCTGGGCCAAAAGAGGGCTCCCAGGTGGGCTGGGAGGTGCTGGCACTAAAGAAAGGTAGGTAGCGTGGTCCTTGCTGGACCATCAGATATTAAGGAAGCCCCTTAATCTTCCTGCCTCAGTTTCCCCCTTGCAAAGTGGTGCCAATATGCTGGGACAACATTAAGAGTGAGCAGTCTACGGCCATGGCGAGGGTGGGTATTTCAAAGGATGCCCCCTAACATGGGCACTGCCTGGCATTGTCCCAGAGCTTCTGCAGAGCAAGCCCAGGTTCTGAGAGGGCAGACTCCGCACCAACAGTGGTCGCAGTAAGCACCTTCGAGTCCTCAGAACCCAGCTTTGGTTCAGTTCTGCCAGGAACTAGCTGTGACAGGAAATTCACAATTTCCTCATCTAAGAAACAGTGGGAGTGGTTTGAATTAGTTCATCACTATGGTCGTCGCAACCTCGAAACTGCTCTCTGCTCTTGCAATCCCTGAGAGCTGAGGCTCCGCCATCTATAAGCTGCTCCCCGTTACCTGTGGGGTTTGAGGCACATTAGGAAGGGCTGGAGCCTTGAGTGAGAAGAGCCATTTCTCTTCTTTATGGGTTGGGGTAGGCTTGGTAATCAGCTCGTGCATCTTGGGAGGAGAGGGAAAAGGAACGGGGGGAAGGTGGGGCCCAGGATCCGGAGCGGTCCTGAGGACGCGTCCTTTAACTGCCGGATCGTGGCGGGTTGGCGGGGGGTGGCTCCTAGACCGGCTCGCCGCCCCCCGGCAGCCCCCGGGGCCGACGTGCGCAGGAGCCCCGGGGGAGCTCACCTGGCGGCCGTTCACGTAGAAGAGCAGCTCGGCCGCCGCGTCCATGGCGGAGACCCGGGGCCCGACGGCCCCGCGGAGGCTCACCCGCACGTGGGACCCCGGCGCGCTGAGCCGGCGAGCGAACCCGGGCTGCTGGCGCCCGAAATGCGACCAGCCCCGATGAGGCAAGTCCAGATTAAGATCCGAAATTCCGGGAGCGCCCGGCCAGGAAAACTCTTGCCCGGGGTATGGAGACGTCACCGGAGCTCTCTGGCTGCACCGAAATCCTGGCCGAAGTCCTTCTCATCCCCGGCCTGGGGCGCTCCGCGTCTGTGCCACACTCTCCCGCCTCTTAGCAGGTCCTGCCGCTCCCGTGACACCTTTTCGGTCGTCTTATATGAGTGCATGTTTTAAGGAGCTTGCCAGCTAGATCTGAAGTCCAGGAACTCTTAGTAGTTTTTTTCGTGGCTCGTCCCACGACGCCTGCTGCAGTCCTGCAGTCGTTGTAGTGAATCATATTCGTTCCAACTTTGCAGGAAAGGACCTTAAGGACGATGAATTATTTCACAACATTCTCTCACAGTTTTAGAAGTAATTATTCAAGTTTGTTTTAAAAATCAATAGCTACCTTGATATAAAGGGTTTTTTTTTTTGAAGTTTGATCACTATTCACAGTTCAGAAAATAACCACAAAGTTTATCTGTTACATAACAACAGAGATGTAAAAATAAAACTTGGAAAACAGTAAAAAGCATAAAAGTAAAAATCACCTGTAAGCCTACAATTTCGAATTTATGATTAGTAGGTTTTGGGGTCTATTTTTACAGTTTTGAAATCTGTACTATAACACCTTTAAAAACTCAAGTGGAACCAAACTAGTTATTTTCCAGACTTGTTTTCACTTAACATACTTGGAACACTTTCCCATGTCATTTCATTTATTAAACACAAACATTTTGTTGTGAAAATGTGTACAGCCAGCTGTTAGCTATTGAGTAGAGCTATTGACTATGGACAAAAGGTGGAGTACGTACAGCATCCCCATACACCTGAGCTCTCACAATGGTCAACATTTTGCCATATTTTCAAGCCAATCTCAGGCACATTGGTTATCACTAAGTACTTCGTATATACATTTTTTAAAAAGACAAAAACATTTTCTTACTCAAATTCCATTATCACACCTAACAGTTAATATGTTCTTAAGTATCTTCAAATTTCCCAGTGTCACAAAAGTCTTTTTACACTTTGAGTCAAACAAGGGCTACTCCACGTATCTGTTTGCTGTCTTTTCAGTCTGTTTTAAAAATCTAGAACAGTCTCCTCACCCACTCTCCCTTGTTATGCTATTAATACGTTGAATTAGTTGTCCTATAGAATGCACTGCATTTTGGATATGGCTGATTGCTTCCCTAGTATTACTTGTTCTTCCATCCTTTCCTTTTCCATCTTCCATCCTTTCATTCTATTTCCTTTACTCTGTCTATTGAGCAAAAGCCTTGTTCAGTTTTGGGAAGTAAGAATACTTCATAGGTGGTATCATATACTTTTGTACATCATTAAGTATATGATGCTGGTTCTCATCTTAATGGTGCTAAGATTCATCGTGGGTTCAGTGGGTTACCTCTTCATGATAAATGTCTCCATCAACGTCTCACTGAATTGTTTCACCATCCCTTATTGACCATTGCCTGAAGCAGTTATTAGGGGGTTGCAAAATAATAATTTTCCTAATTCTAACATCCCTTCAGCATTCATCAGTTGACAGTCTTTAAAACAGAATAGCTACCACAGTCATTATTGACTAGAGCTATTGACTATGCACAAATAAAATTAATACCAGAAAGGCAAGATAAATTTTTACTTTCCCTTATAAATTTTCAAGTATTGAGTTTGTGTGCTAGCAACTTCTAGTACTATTCAATGTTTTGCTTTTTTTTTAATCATTATGAATTTATAACTTTTTGTAAAGTTAATATGCTTTGATCAATTGCAGGCATCATTCTTACTGATGTTCAGTTTGTCCCATCTTAGGCCAATGGAAGCTCCTTCAAACTGGAACCTGTGGCCTTTTGATATGGGCACATTAGTGTTTGATAAATTTCCTTCCTTCTAGAATAAGACATCCCAGGCTTACCTTGCCTATATCCTATCCCAGACTTGGAACCAGCCATTTCTCCAAAAAGCCCTGGATCCTCTGAGTGGGAAATAGTATTTGGAAACCACAATTTGGATGCTTGAGAAAAAAATTTTTAAAAAAGAGAAGTGCAAAAAACATGAGTTCACACTAGTATTTCTAATTAAAATTTAAGATTGCAGTTTTTTTAAAACATTCTTGGATTTTATAATTGTATCTGTTCTCTTATGCAAAAAACCTTCGTTATGAAACCTTAACGTAATTGCTTTAATCTGTCCTTAGATCTATTTCAAAACAGCCACATCAGTATTTATGGCAGCAGTAAGACTAGTGAAAGTATAAGGTTTCTTTACAGTTCTTTTTATCCTTAGAGTATAATCTAAGACACAAATTCAAAATACTTTTCCTAAGGTCAGGTATCCGTCACCAACTTGATAGTTACTTTTATTCATTTTAGGTGGCTTTCAAGTTAGCTGTCCTCTAATAACAGTTACTTTAGGTTGTTCATTTTTTCTTTTCTACTTTGCTATTGCAAACCATGCTATAGTGGAGTTTTTGTATTTTTTTTTTCAAGAGAATTTTTGGTGTAGTTTTCTGAAAGTGGGATTGCTAGGTAAAAATTTATATACATCTAATTTTGCTGGACATTGTCAAAATCTTTTCTATCAAGGCTGCATCATTTTGCATTCCCTCCAACACCGGATAGGAATCAGTGGGGGCAAAAAAAAAAAAGTAAGCCGCTGGGATTATTAGAACCTAGAAACTGGGAGGAGACATGTGAGGGGAGAGCACTGCTCAGCCACTGTTCCTACCTCAGGAGCTAGGGAAGGGGCTTCTGGGAGTTAGAACTCAGATCCAAAAAGATGGTGTGTGGCCAGGATGGTGCTGATATCTCAGGAGCTTAGAGGAGGCCCCCAGTGGGGCTAGGCCTGACGCCTGTGAGGGGGCCCAGCCCAAGCAGTGCTGGTACCACCACAGGGGCTACTGAGCCTGGTTCTAGGAGAGCTGAACCAACTCAACTGCTCCCCCGAAGGGAAGCCCCATTTGAGGTGTTGCCCAGAAAAGCAAGGGAACATAAGTCCCTTTTCCTTCTAAATTCCTATCTCTTATCGCCCCCTACTGACAGAAGCTAAAAAGGACTCGGCTGGCAAATAAATGTGCTTTGCAGTTCAGCATGACACAGCAAAGTTGAGAGAAGTGGACTGAGACAACAGTTGACTCATTAAAAAGTGGGATTGATTGCATGAAGAATGTTTCAGTACCAACAAATTAATGAATATAGCTCATGCTAATATATCTAAGGAGAATAATTATGTTTCAGTTTTGTGATTATTAAGCTATTGTGTTTCAGCTTCAAATCCACACGTCCACTCTGTTAAGGCGATGCCTTTGCGAACCGCTTTTTTCCTTTGCTAGGCTCTCTGGTAGAAGGTGCTAGAGGCAAATCAGAAGTATGGCAGAGGAAGAAAAGATTTGCTCCTTCCGGTTTGCTTCCTGTTCCTATTGGCATCTCCACAAAACACTTCACCCTGGCAGGAACAAGTGACTTGAATAGTGACAGCTGGCTCTAATTTGCAGCGTTTCCACTCTCAGACCAGTCTTGTCATGGCCCTTTGGGAAAACAGCACCAAACCAGTTGTACACCTTCCCCAGAATCCTGGAACTCTTCCCCTGAGCTTTTTGGTTTCAGTAATTCCATCCTTTTCTCTTTGTCCCCTCAGCCCAAGGCAGTGGGTGCGTCCCATAGTTGGTTCCTCTGTGACACTCCAGTGGTCCTTTTGTCTCTCCAGTTCTGTTCAGTTCTCTCATATATGGTTAACAATTTATAAGATAATTGTGGTTTCTGTCTCTTGGCTGGATCCTACCTAATACAATCTCCATCCGTGGTAAAAACCACCTGACTACATTCAACACTCATTCAAGATTTTTTAAAAGACCACTCAATAAGATAATTGACAGCACTTTAACCAGCTCCAAACCCAGTATCTTTCTTAATTGGGTAAAATCAGGGGTATTTTCATGAAAATCAGGAACAAGACAAGGATGCCCACTATCCCACTACTATTTAACATTTTACTTGCGGTAACAATCATGCAATTGGACAAGAGAGAGCAATGAGAGACGTTAAGAACCAGGGGAAAGAAAAGAGGTAAAAGTAGCTCGGTTTTCAGGAGATATGTCTGGAAAATGCTACAAACAGTAACAGAGTTTAGTAATTAACATACAGAAGTCAATAATCTTCATATATGCAAACAAAAATCAATTATAAGAGGGAATCAAAGAGAAGATCCCATTTATATTATCAAGAAAAAAAAATTTCTAGGCATTAATTTATGAAGAAATGTATAAAACCCCTGAGGGGAACTTTGAAACTCCCCTAAATTCTCTATAATTTAAAAGAGTTATTAGTAGTAGGACATAAAAAGACACAGACTAGTAGAAGAGAAAGAAAATCAAGAAATAAATTTAAGTATACATAGAAATACAGTATTTTAAAAAAGGTATTTCAAATCGGTGGTGGAAAACACAGACTTTTTAATTAATGGGGGGTCATTTTGGAAAAGGTGAAAATTGTATCCATACCCCATATCATATAATAGAACAAAATTCACAGGAATCAGAAATTAAAATATAAAAACAAAATTAAACTATGGGTAAATGTCTTTATAATGGGAGTAGGAAGATTATTTCTTACTGTCACCAAATTCCACCAGCAATAAAAGGCTGATAAATATGACTACATAAAATGAAAAATAATTTCCATGGGACAAAAAAAAGAGAAAAGACACATTTCATACAAAGAAGAAAAAAATAGAAATAAGCCATAGGAACAAAATTACAGTAATAGAGAATGACCCTAGCAGGTCCAAAATCTTAAATAGGAGTATAGGAAAGAGACCAAAGACTATCAGGGTGCCACGCTCTTAACTACTATGTAAACTATTCCTTTATTAAAAGCTTCTGGCCTCCATTCAACCCATAATGTTGATATTATGAGTACTAAGTTCTGTGGCACTCTGTAGTCCTACAGCAGTTTCTTAAAGGTTGGTCCTAGGACCAACTTCCCCAGAATTATCTGAAGTGTTTGTTTGTTAAAGATTTCTGGGCCCACCATTTTAGCTGTGAGATATTGTCTATGAAAGCTTTTCCATCTGGCAGAATAGAATTTGGTCATTTGAATACGTAAAGCTATGTTCTGTGATCTCAGATATGAATAGGGTTTATTACATTTTACTACTGAAATGGTAAGCACAGACCTTTAAAATAAAGTTATAAACCAATTCAAAAGAGCCTGAAAGGTTAAGCACCTCAGCCAAGTCATCAGATTACATATAATAGCAGAAACACAGAAGCTGACACCTGACAAGTAATTCTGAAAGAAGAATGAAGGGTAAGAGAAAACTGACCGGGGCAGAGGCAACTGTGAAAAACGTATACATGTTCACATGTATTGAATGGTTTAAAACAAAACAAAACAAGATAGCTTGGTATGCCACAAGATAAACAATGCAAAAGTATTTATAATATATTTTATTTTGTTAAAAAGTTAACAGTTACTGTTTAATTAAAGGTTGGTAGATTGACAAGCTTAAATGAGCAGGTAGATAAGTTATAGGATGGCCAAAATGATTTTAAAAGTTAATATTACACAGTAGCTATTTCACGCACATATATCTATCTAAACATAAGAACGGATAAATCAACATTCTATGAAAAGGCAGAAAACAAACAAGAAAATAAAAAAATTTTCGTTATGTGCTTTCACTTTGATCCTAGTTGTGTCTGTTTTGATTCATTATGGTTTGAGGATTCAGAAAAGCAGAATGCATAAATTCAGCTCATCTTCTCATCTTTCTGCAAAGGAGAAAAAAAGGGGGAAGATTAACAATAATAACAACTGAAAGCTAATGCTTTTGCTGTGAAGCATGGAGAAGAAAATTATTGCGTCATACCAACAGAGTGGAGTTTCCTCAAACTATAAGCATTGGCACGAATTTGAAATTTAAAACATGGTTTAAAAAAAATTAATCAACATAGGTTTATATATGTTTTACTACTTATTTCCTTCATATTATAACTTATTAGCATACATATAAGGGTATTTGAAAATAATACAATTTAAAAAGTCAAACATTGATATTCTTACCCTAGGTTAAGAAATAAAACACTGCCACACTTCAGAAGCTGCCAGTGTGCCCCTTTCTGATGACATCTCTCTCGCCCCTCAAGAAGTAACCATTATCCTGAAATGTGTTCATCACTCCCTTGCTTTTCTTTATAGTTTTTACCATCTGTGCATTGCACTCCTAAAAGTATATTGCTTGGCTTTACCTATGCTTGACCTTAAAATCTATGGAATCATTTGGAGGTGCTTTTCTGTAACTTGCTTTTTTCACTCAACACCTTTACTCATTTCCAAGTCTCTCCTTCATTAAAACATTAAACATTTTATTCTGTATTTAATCTTATTATCCATTGCTTCTTCTGGTACCCTGTACCCTTGTGTAGCATTTTTCTTTACTATGAGCTAGGCATTCATTTCACTTGTAACTCTATCTGTGGAAAATGTGTTGAGGACTGAGATGAAGGAATCTAGAAAGTATCTGCCATTTGCTTCTGACAGACAACAGGGGGCACTGAAAGTCATGGACTAATGCTAAATCCTCAGCTTGATGTTTTCTGGGACTTTCAGGCACTGTGAATTACAGCTGCAATGCCTAAGAGTTTGATTTTGGTTATGAAGTATCAGAATTTTTCCTCTCTGCAATTCAGTTCCAGAGTCATTTTCTGGCGCTTAAAAAAAATGGTGGAAAGATGATTTTTAGTTTGCTCCTCTACTGAGAGAGTAACTCAACTTTATTGAAGGTTATCTACTATTAAACTCTTCATTTTAGCTAAGTCTAGGATCTGCCTTCTTTCTCCAGCCCCATAAGACTGTGAATGCAATGCTTAGTCAGTCAAAAGCCAGTTCCAGGGTCCGTGTGCTTCTCTGGGTCCCTGTTCTCGTTCAGTCTCTAACTTGAGCTTTCTCACTTCTCCACTAGCTGACAGATTCATTCACAGTGTTGTTGTTCTGGTTTGGTTTTTTATATTTTACCCAGTAATTTTATTTTTTCAGTAAAAGGGTTGATCATACACCTAGTATATCATGTAGCAAGATGTGGAATTGTATTTATTCTTTACATTATCTATGCTTTTGAATGAGACACATACACATGGTCCTACATTAAAAAGGTATGAAGGTTAGATACACACCCTGTACTCCTTTCCAGGCCTATACGACACCAGTGCCTTGAGGAATTAGGTAGAACTAATTAGTTATCTATTCTAAACTAAATATAGCAAAATGCTGCACTGAAATGGTATACTATTTTAGTTTAGATCTACTGGGCATGCAGATTATGTGGTAAACAGTTTAGCTGGTAAAATTTTTTAAAGCAAAAATCACAGTGCACATTAGTATAAATACTAAGAATGATGACAACCCAGCTGACATTTTTTTTTGCATTTTGGGAATGGCATGCAGCAAGTATGTCCCAGCTTCTGATATGATCGAATCTGTTTGCAATGTGTTCTGGAGTGATCATCATAGGCACTGAGGATAGGAGTGGCAGGAAGGTAATAGAACTCTATTTTTAAAAATCTTTATCCCTTAAGCCCCAAACCACTGTACATGACAGAGGGAGGTATTTTTAATAGTAAAAGCTCTAATCCACAATGAATGGGTACTATGATATTTATGTAGCAGAGCAACTGCCTTTATGAAGCAAAAACTACAGGCGATGCACAGAGACAGACAAAAGCATAATAAGAGGAGATTTAATATAGTACTCTCAGTACAAGACAGATAAAGTAGACAAAAAATAGATAAAAGATCTAAGCAACACAATTAATAGGGTAAATCTATGAATATTGAATTCTACACTCTGATAGTAGAGAATATTCTTCTCAAGTGCTCAGAGTAGTTACAAAAGCAAATCCAACACCACATCATGAAAAACATACACCATGACAAAATGCAGTTTACTCCAGAAATGAAAGGTTGGTTCAATATTAGAAAGCCTATCAGAACCCTGTTAATAAATCTAGTAAATACAGCCAATGATTCTCTAACATCTTCTTATGTTGTATACTTGAAACCAATGTTAGATTGTATATTAATGATACTTCAATAAGAATAAATAAATAAATCTAAGTAAATAAAGCACATGATCTTTTCATAGATGCTAAAAAAGACTTTGACAAAATTCAACACTCATTCGTGATTAGAATACTCAACAGACAATGAGAGACATGTTCTTATATAAGATATATATATATATACTTTAACCCTAAAGCCAGCATCTTATTTAATGGGGAGACTAGACGTATTTTCACTTAAATAAGAACAGGCTAGAATAACAACTATTCAACACTGTACTTGAGGTGTTAGCCAACAGAATGAGACAAAAGAAATCAATCAGAGAGATGTGAAAAGGTAAAGAAGCAAAACTATATTTCCAGATGATTTCATAGTATCTCTGGAAAACTCTGGAGAATCAATGAGATAGAGAACAAAAGAATTTAGTTAAGTGGCAAGTAACAAACTCACACAGAATTCAACACTTCTTATACCTACAAACAATAAACATTGGGCATGATTTACATGTCCAAGTTACATGTCCATTAATAAGAGCAACAAAAAAGACTAAATACCTAGAAATAAATTTAACAAGAAATATGTAAAATCTCTATGAGGTAGACGTTAAAACACTTTCAGTTTAGTCACGAGAGAAGGGTTGAATAAATAGACATCTGTTCTTACCCAACTTGACCCAATACAAAGAATGCTAGTGCTCCCTCAATTAATGTATCGATTTAATTCAATCACAATAACGATACCAATAAGCTACACTAGTGGTTTTCAACTCAGGGTGTTTTTGTCCACCAGGTGACATTCTGCAAACTTAAGAGACATTTTTTATGGTTATAAATGGGTGAGTGCTGACATCTAGTGCTTGGTAGTGAAAAAGAATACAGGTGTCTATAAACTCAATGTTTTTACTATACACATTGACAGAGAAATATAAAAGTGTGTGTATGTGTGGATTGGTATACATACATATATTTCCGAACTCTGTCTGCTGAGAGGCCCTGATAGCAACAATCCCTGGGGTAGCCAGACTTTTCAAGGAGGACCTCGTCTCATGATCCCTACCTACTAGTATCCATGCTTATATAATCCCCTTTCCTTGAGTATGATGGGAGCTGTGTCTTGCATCTAAACAACAGAATACAGAAAAGGTGATGGCATGTCTCATTTCAGAGATTACACTTCTTTATATAAGACTCCATCTGACAAAGGATTTGCTCTAGAGACACTGTCTGTAGCTAGCTTTGAAGTAAGTAGCCATGTTGACAGGCCCATGTGGCAAGGAGCTGAGGGTGGCCTCTTGGAGTTAAGGGCAACCTCCAGCCAAAAGCAGGAAGCTGGGGCCCTCTGTCTTATAACTACATGGAAGTGAAATCTGCCAACCATGTGTGCTGACCTTGGAAGCAGATTCTCCACCTGTAGAGCCTCCAGATGGGAACCAGCCTTGACAATAACCTGACTGCAGCTATGTGAAACACTAAGCAGTGCACCCAAGTTAGCCAAGCCCAGATTCCTGGGCCATAGAAACTGAAACATAATAAATCTATGGTGTTTTAAGCTACTAGGTTTATATTAATACTGTTATGAAGCAACAGGTAACTAATACAACACAACACAAGCAATGAAAATACCTAGTGCCCAGATCTTGGTTTCTGAACAAAATTCTTCAATCCAAGGAACCTCTGTGAAGAAATGCCTGATTTGTGGGCTAGGGCAGGAAAAACATTAAGATGAACCAGGAACATCTTGTGTGTCAGAAAGTAAGGAAGTGCTCAAAATATATATGAGGTTTGTTGAAAGAACACAAGAAGCCACCAGCCTGACGGATCTCCTCATAGCCAAAGCTGGAATGAGGTGATCAACAAAATCAATATTGATAGTATTAGATTTTACTTGTAGAATAAATGTCCATAAGTCCATACTGAGATAAATAAATAAATAAGGGAGGGAGAAGGGACAGGTCTTCCTTACAAATTCTAATTAATGTAGAAGGAAAAAGGGAAATGGAAAATCATTATTAGGCAAACACCACAGTATTAACTGTTGCAGACATGATCCATAAATGCGTTCTGAAATTAGTGGGTAGAAGTTTGAGAAGCAATAAGATGTATAGACTCAACGTATCTCCCCCAGTGTCAATTAACTATAAAGGAAAATATAGTAACTTTACTGTGAAAAAACCCCAGCAGACACCACCTCAATCAAGTGACCAAGCTCAACATTACTGGTAAGGAGGAATACTGACATGATGCAGCGAGGACATACCATTTCGGTGAAGCTCTTACCAAAAGTGCATGACTGCATTGTACTTATGAGACAAACCAAACTGAGGGATATTCTACAAAATAACTGACCAGTGGTGTTCAAAGGTGTCAAAGTCATGAAGGAAAAGGAAGGACTGAGAACTGTCACAGGCTGGAGGAGACTAAGGAGAAAGAAAACTAAATGCCAAGTGGGATCCTATGTAGGATTCTAAAACAGCAAAGGATGTTAGTGAAATCTATAGTTTCATTCATAATACTGTACCAATGCTAATCTTCTCATTTTGATCACTGTACTATAGGATTATAAAATGCTAAAATCAGGGAACACTGGGTGAGGAAATGGTGCTAGTTTCACAACTTTTTAGTAAGTCTAAAGTTAGTTCAAAATAAAAAGTGTAACTTGCAACTTAAGAATAAAAAGACATCCCAACTGAAAAAGGGCAAAGGATCTGAATAGACATTTCTCTGAAGATCTACCAATGGCCAAAAACCACACGAAAAAATGCTCAACATCATTAGTCATAAGGAAAATACAAATCAAGACCATAATAAGATACCATTTCGCACCCATTAATATGGCTAAAATCATCAAAAAGTCAAATAGTAACAAGTGTGTTGACAAGGAGATGGAGAAATCAGAACTTTCTTATACCATTTGTGGGAATGAAATATGGTGCAGCAGCTTTAGCAAACAGTCTAGAAATTCCTCAAGTGCTGCAGAGAGTTACCATATAACCCAGCAATTCCACAACTAGGCATGTATCCAAGAGAAATAAACATATGTAACACAAAAACTTGCAAATGAATGTTTACAGCACCATTATCCATAATAACCAAAAGGTGGAAACAACCAAATGTCCCTCACCAGACAAGTGGATAAGCAAAATGCGATACAACTATACAACAGAATTACCAATCTTAATGTTCTAAAATTGACTGTGGTGATGGTATGCATTAACTGGGAGTACAAAAGCCACTGAGTCATAGACTTTAAATGAATGAAATGTATGGCATGTGAACTGCATTCAGTTCAATAAAGTTGCTTTTTTAAGAAAGTCTTTGGTCCTTTATTTTACTTTTAACTTGGTTCTCTTTCAACCTCCCTTGTATTGCTGCCATATGCTGCTTATTGTTGTAAAATACCTGTCAGAACCATCAATGTCTTTCATTTTATAAAGGAAGTAAACACTGAAATAATACAAAGGATGAGAAAATGTAAGGATATTTTTCTCTATCCTTCTGAAAATATAACCACAAACATGATCAAGTTCTGCAAAACAGGCTACTTCTTAAAAAAAAAAAAGAGAGATTTTGAATAAAACACATGTAAAAGGCATTTGGACATTTTTGAGATAGGTAATCAAGAAAATTTGAATAGGGACTGGTTATTAGATGATGGTAAGGAAATATTGGTAATTGTGTTAGATGCGATCATTTTTGTCCAGTTGTGTTAAGAACTTGGTTGAGTTATTTTTAGAGATACATAGAGAAATACTTTAGGAATTAAATGACCCAATATTATGGATTTGCTTTAAAAATACTTCAACAAAAAAGGATAGACAAAGTAAATATAGCAACCTATTCGTAACGTCATGGATGGATAAATGGGAAAAGTCTTATTTTCTCTTTGTTGGGTATGTTTAAAAAGGGAGTGAGAAGAAAAAAAAAAGGACAGTTATTGAGGCCAAAGGACATATAAACCATTTTGAATTCTTCTAGAGAGCAAGGTAGAAAACATACAAATCAATAACAGATTTGGAAATAGTGGTTTGCAAATCATAGGCAATACATTTTTATTTTAAAAAGCCTGTTCAAACAGAAGACATTTTGTCCAATTTTACCCATATCATACTGTGGATGTTACATGTCAATGATATGTTTTATAGATATTGAGCAGTGCTCAATACAAATTGAGCCAGGAATTTTAAAAGCAACCACGCTGAAATCTCTTTAATATAATTGAAATACTTACCCTTTGAGACTTGGCTCTTTTAAATAGAGAGGAGTGCACCTTCTTCTTCGGCTTGGCAGTTCTAAAGATAGATCTTCTGACTTATTTTCCAATTTAGTCATGTTATTTGAAACGAAACTGGTATTAGTCAAGTCCTGCAGTGTTCTACCACCTGAAAAGAATATTAGTTTCATAAATAATTGTAAAAATATGTAAAGATGTGGAAATAGATATGGTTTGCAAATTTGGTAGCAAATTTTTAAACTGAATAATCAAGTTATAATTTTAAATATTACAAGAGTAGCACTCTGATTTTGTAAATCAGTTTAATTTTTTTCTAGCATTATTAAGACTTAAAATTTGAAACAAACTATCAAAGTAGCCAACAGACATTTTTATTCTAGAATCACATCGAGGCTGGTAAAAATTCTTCATGGTTCAATTTTAGTCATAGAATCACACAAATTACTGCACATTCATTCAACATTGTCATTTATTGTTCACTCTGTGGAAGATACCATAATACAGAAAGGGAAGATGGCTTGCCAACTCTAGATTTTTGTAGTTTTGTTTCAGCATTCCTTACCTGGAATGGCTTATCCACCAAAATTCTAGTGTTACCTACTTGAAAAGCTATCTGCACCTCATGTTTATTGCAGCATTACTTATAATAGCATTATTTCCACTGCAGCTTGGAAACAACCTGAGTGTCCATAGATGGATGAATGGATAAAGAAGTTGTGATATATATAGGAAAAGTATTACTCAGCCCTAAAAAATGAGGAAATCCTACAATTTGCAACAACATGGACAGACTTTGTAGATATTATGCTAAGTGGTGTAAGTCATAATAAATACTGTGCGATCTCACTTTACATGTGGTATGTAAAGAAAAAACTCAGACTCATAGAAAAAGATCAGATTTGTGGTTACAGGAGATGGAGGAAGGTGGGGTCAGGGGGAATGGAGAAAGATTGTCAAAAGGTAGAAAATTCTGGTTATAATTAAGTACTAAGGATGCAATGTACAATGTGATGACTATAGTTAATACTGTTATATGTTACATAGGAAATTCTATCAAAGAAAGTAAACCCTAAGAGTCCTCAACACAAAGAGGAATTTTTTTTCTTTTTGTAGATCATATCTTTATGAGATGCTGTATGTTAGCTGAACCTATTGTTATAATCATTTCATAAGATATGTAAATCAAACCATCATGACATGCACCTTAAGGTCACATAGTAATGTACATCAATTATTTCTCAATAACACTGGGGAAAAAATGTTAGGCTCCCACTAGAAAGTTTTAATTGATACGGGAATGCCTAATGCTAGAAAATTTATATAACGTCAATTATAGTATGACTTCAAGAATGTATTTTAAAAATCCATAGATCCCAGTGTGCATGCACATGTCAGAATGTTGACTGAAGTTCTTCTGGATGATTGTTTTTTCCTATTTTCTGATTCTCTACTTTCAATTTTCTGTGACACATATTATTTTAATAACTGCAGTAAAATTAAAAGTAAACAGTAAAGGTAAAAATTATACCTATCTCTTTGTCCTAAAATGCTACCCATTTCAGGATGCCTCTGCAAGTTGCTTTTGTCAAAATTACTCTCCATTACACCCCTTAGCATAATATGTATGCTTTTATTAAAGCATTTACCACATTTACCACTGTATTTGTTGCTTTTACATGCATGTATTCTGAGGAAATGGAGTTGATACTGTTTATTTTGTAATCCTCTAAAACACCTAGAATAATGCTTGAGAGAGCTCACCCTTAAGAAACTTGCAACTGTCTTAGCTAAAATCAAACCAGGGCAATTCATTATTATACACATTCAAAACACTCAATTTCCTTCAAACTTATGAAAAAAGAAATCATTTATCTAATGACACTATCAGACAATTTTGTGGTAAAAGCCCTATCTGTTTTTTAGGCTTTAAATGTCTAACACTCTCATGGTTATCTTCCTAAAGTATTAAACTTAAAAAAAATTCCTTCATAGACTTCCTATAGATAAGGCTAGAGTTAAATATTGTTTTTAAATTTCATAAAAACATCGTTACAACAGGAAATACTTTACTAGTTAAATGAAAAAGAAAAGCACTTTTAAAATTTGCTTACTTCAGGTACTGACCCACCTATTTCTGATTTTTGTGTTCTTCGGTTGACTTTGAATTTCATCCCTTTCATCTTCTCATCCACATCATCACTTACTTGAAAGATTGGTGAGCATTCCAGGACAAAATTTTCTTTTATTATCATATTTTTACTAGAAGAAATACTCAAGGGTATTGAACCCTCATGAATACTATTAAAGGACGTATTTTGTATGTTACGTGAATTTATCTGAGATAAAGAATTAAACACTTTTGTGTAAGAGTCTGGCTGAATTTTGACAATTTTCTCACTTTCCAAATTTTTTTCAGCATTGCCTTGCTCAGATTCAGCTGTTATTTCCTGAACATTGTCAGATATTATGTCCATTACTTCATGACTACCTGGAGAAGGATCTATGAAGGTTTTCCTTTTCTTTGATTTGGACGTCACTTTATTTACTTTTTTGACCTGACACTCTCCTTTCATTCCTTCCACAAAAGGAATATCTCCTCTTTTATTCAGACTTGTAGTGCTTTTTTGCTCTGGATTCTTGTGTGGTTCCTTTTGGTTACCAGGATCAGAATTTGCCTCATTAATATGTTTTAAACCTGATTCTATGGAAATAGATGTCAGTGAAGAACCTGTTAAGTGCAAAATAGGTCTGTTTTTTCCTTTTGCCAAAATGTTCTTTGTCTTGCCTGATGATTTTTTCCTAGTTTTTTTAACTAGTTTACAAGGATTTGAAACTTGATCACAATTTTCCTTTTCATTACTATTGCTTTCCATACAGTATCCACTGATAATACTTTGGCATTCAAGTCTTTGTTTAGATTTATTTATTTCAAAATCAAGAACTTTTGTACAGATTTCTGGGCCATGAACATCTTCATCATTATCCCCACATAGTTGGTACACTTGAGAAATTATTTCTGTCTTCCGATTTACTTTCTGCCTAAGCTTCTTATCTATTTTTGATTCATTTTGACAAGCAGGTTGCCTATCATGGACTTGCTTTTTCACCCCCAAAACATTCTGAGGATCACAGTCATACAGGTTTCCACTATCTTTGGAAGAAAGGGCAGGTGTTTGAAACTCACTGGGGTCTTTTAGGTTTTCAGGGATAACTTCTTCATCCTTCTGGGTTAGGAAAAAAGAGTTGCTCCTTTCCGGGCAAAACAGATTTTTGTCGTTATCTAAATAGTTCACTTCAGAAATTATTTCTGTCTTCCGATTTACTTTCTGCCTAAGATTCTTATTAACTTTTGATTCATTTCGATGAACAGAGCACACATCACTGATCTGCTTTTGCAAATCTAACACATTCTGGGTCTCATTATCACACAGGTTTCCATTACCTATGGCAAAAAGAGAAGGTTTTTGAAACTCATTTGAAGTTTCCAGGTTTTCAGAGATGGTTTCTTTACCCTGTTGGGTTTCAAAGGAAAAGTTACCATTTTCTAGGCCATGCACATCTTTAGCATCATTCCCACAAATATGGTTTATTACAGAAATTATTTCCGTCTTCCGATTTACTTTCTGCCTAAGCTTTTTTATTTTTGATTCATTTTGCTGAGCAGGTTGCATTCCAGTGACATGCCTTTTCAAATCCAACATATTCTGGGTCTCATAATCAAATAAACTTTGGTTATCTTTGGTGGGAAGATCAGCTGTTTGAAATTCGTTTGTGACTTCCAGGTTTTCAGAAGTGGTTTCTTTATCCTTTTGGTTTGGGAATAAGTTACCTTTTTCTAAATTATGAATCACAAATGTCTGTCTAGAAGCCTTACATTTTTTATCAGCTGGAGAAGTCTGACCCACACCAAATTTACTCTCCTGCTGGGCTTTATCTGAACTTTGGGAGAAAGAGTGTATTTCCTCTTGCTCATTTGTGACATGTGTTCTTTTCTTTTTTTTATTATACCGTGTACTTTGTCTGTCATCTTGATCACAGCCACTAGGAAGGGTTATTTTCTTCAGTGTGTTCAACTGAGTCACCTGTTCAGTATTAAAAATAAAATTTGGATCTTCTGAATCCCCTTTGCCATCAAGAACAACAGATCTTTTTGCTGGTCCATTTCCCATCTTGTCTTCAATATCCACATCTGAACTGTTTTTAAACTTTCTCTTTGGTCCTTCTCTCTTTCTGTCAGAGCTTGAATCTTTTACTTTTCTGAAAGGTTTTATTCCACAATCATTTGGTTTTACATTACTTTTATTTTTAATGCTTGTTGAAACTGTAACAATTGTGCTTACTTCAGTAGCAGTTAAATCCATGTCAGCATCATACACAGTTTTCTGCAACTGAAAGGCCTCATTACTCTGCTCTTGATTCTTGCACTCTGCAGTAGGGTCACGAGCAGACTCACATGAGTCAGGAAGACATTGTATGCTTCTCTGCACTGGAATATTTGCTTCATTAGTAGGATCTTTGATCTCATTATTCCAACGTAATTCTGGACTTGAAATCCACTGTTGACCTAAATCTATCACACAGGGACTGTCTGCAGAGGGATTATTTGATTCCCGAGATGATATACGTTTTTTCCTTTCAGTTATATTACTAGGAAATGGTTTCTCCTTTTTGTGGCTGATTAACTGGGCACTTCTCATTTCACTCTTTAGAGAACTCTTGGAACTTCTGTCTGAGTGGGAATGGGAATGGCTTTCTATGAAATAAAGAGAAACAAAATTGAGAAATAAGTAATGACAAGGAATTTATTATTTTAACAAATTCAATTAGAAACTGTTTCACAGAGAGGACTTCTGATAGCATATTCTGTTCAAATGCTTAAAAATCTATGGTGATAAAAAATAAAGTAGAAATGATTTAAGTACCCATAAGTCACATTTTACACTTCTATCTATGGAAAATATATAGAAGAATTCACTCTACCTTGGCCCCAACAGTAGAGTGGAGTAATAGCCAAGAATAGAGCCATTAACATATATTTCTAAAGTGGAAGAAGGTCAGCAATAAACCCAAATAACATAATAACTCTGGTAAGGATTACTATCAAAAGGCTATCAACAGGCAGCTAAAGTTTATATAAAGCATACACACATATACACTCACATAGGTTTTTTAGAAAGGACAAATAATTCTAAGTTCAAAATTCAATATAGCTATGGTTCCATATCCTAATCTAAAAGTCTATGACAAATACGTAAGTCTGACTACACTGAAGGATTATTCTTTCAAAATACCATGTACATCAAATGTGTCACCATTTTTCTATTACCCAGGCTTAAGTTTTTGCTTTACCATTAATTGGTTATGATCTTAAAATGTCACTGCACCTGTCTAGGCCCCCAATTTTCGTATCTGTGAAAAGGAGAAGATGAAACTAAATAAATATATGATATCATTAATTATTAAACTAAGATACCAAGAAAAGCTCGTTAGGGAAGCTGTTTTCCTAATATTGCTTCCAGAGTAACAGTATTAGGCCACTATGGATCTGACATTTGTCAGCACATTTACTTGAAAGTTAAATTTTTGACAAGCAGTTTTAAAAGGTAGAAGTTAGCAAATCTATAATGTAAGAAACCTACCTTATTAACTGTTTATACACTATGGCCCTCAAGAAGACAATCTCATGAATGTCATTATTTGGCTTAAAAT